GGGGATACTCTGTCTTATTCAGATGATTTACAGTTAGACGGACCCTGAAAACAACTACCCAATAAGGGCTTGACTCCTTCTACCTGGCTCCCTCTTGCAATTGCCTAGGTGGGTGTTTTTTTCAGTTTGTTTTTTCTTTTTATGTGTATATGTTTGAAGGGAGAGGAAGGTGCAGGTGAAGGATGTCACCACCACTTAACTCTCCAGGAAGTCAAGTCTAGTCTCCTACGTCCTGACCTCCCTGTCCTCAGGGCAATGGCGCTTGAATACAGGCCAAGGCTGAAGTCCCTGGATTGAGATAGTAATTATGGGATTTCAGGAAACAGCTTTGGGACGGAAAAGGTGCGATTGCCCTGGAGTCTATGAAAATGGGTCTCTCTTCTCAGATAAAGTTGAAAACTCCAGATCATTATTAAAGATTTTCTTGGAATCCTACAATCTGGTCTGATCAGTTTATTATCAAGTCCAGAATGAGAGAGGGTAAATGGGAAGGATTTGGATCAGGTGAGGGGAAGTCAGGAACTACTTAAGGAGTAACTAAATTCTAGGGTAGTTCTAGTAGCTGCCTTTTGAGGGGAGGAGAACTGTAGATTTGCAAATGGCAGCAGTGTGTTTTGTTTGTTGTTGAAAGCTGCTTCGAGCAATAATATGCTAGGTGTGCAATAATCGTGTCAGACAGTGAGTGCTGCTGTGGAAAGGCAAGATCATTGTTACAGGAGATTCTTTCACTTACCAAGCTAAGCATGGGCATGCCTTTCCAAAGGGTTTATTTGATCATATGGTTAATTTAACATTTGAACTGAAGGGCTTCACCGCATCAGGGACAGAACTAGATTTTACACAGGTGCCCCTTGTCCAAACTATAGCCTACTTGACTTCATTCTCCCTGCACTCCTCACATTCAGCCTCCTGGGACCAGCTACAGAGTCACTTTGTTCATTTTCATTGATCTGGCCACGTGAGGAGCTTCCTTTCTTTAAATCTCAAATCTCAAATTGCCATGTAGGAACCACCTCCCTATCAATTTTCCCCGCATTTAATCCTTAGCTTCTTGTCATATTTTCATTTTCCTGCATTGGTTCCCATAGCAACAAGTCTGTTGGCAGAGGAAGCGTGACTCCAGTTTTAGCTCTCTGCACAATACAATCTCCTTGTGATCCTCAGGCAAGCGTCATATAAAAGGGCAGAAAGAGACCAGAGACCACACTTCCCACCAGGGCTAAGATTTCTGACTCCCGATCCTCCTGCATGCATTTCCCACCATAGTCCCAAACCAGGCTTACTGGCCCCAGAGAAAATGGCGTTGAGGGACACAGCTTGGAATCCCCTCAACTGTACACAGAAGTATTCAAAGCTCCCTCACTCCCCCATTCCAACCACAAATACAAGGATTTTCCCTGTCAGCTAGCTGTCAAAAATGCTTAATTAGGGCCAACAACGCTGGGGGGCAGCATAAAGTAACTTTCACTCTTTTCTATAAAATTTCCTCGTGCGCATCTGAGAGGTACTCCAGGGAGTAAGTAGGCTCTGACTTGAGTACTAAATTGTGACAAGACAGTGGGAAATCTGAGATTGTCTCCTATTGGCATATGGTTGGGTGGCATGGGGGAGGGGGGGCTTAAAGACTCATCCCAGAGAGTAGCGCTTTGGAAGCCGAAACAGGATACAGAGAAAGAGGACACGGCAACTGCACATGAGCAAGGGGGCTTCAGCTGGGACAGCTCAGGGATCAAGATGCAAGAGGTTAAAAAAACTGCTGAAAGCTAAGGAAATGGAGCATGGGGAAACAGGGCCGGGGAGAGGGGCTGTGTGGAAAATGGGGGCATTAATCTCCAGAAAGCAAGCCTACAAATGAGAACAGCCACATGCCAACTTTAAGATGTATGCAAGTCGTGTTTCTCTTCCTAACACATTCTATACATTTGTTTTGAACTTTAGAATTTCATTGCAGCTTTGGCAGTTATATACTTAGCAACCCCAAATCTCGTATGTCCTCAATATTCAGAAAAAAGCAGGAACTGTTTGTCACAAATTAAACAGGACATATTTGAATGTGTGTGTGTGTGCTATTGTTTTGTCTTGTTTCAAAAAGATAATAAATTCAGGGGAATGAAAATAGAAATGAAACGTGGTTATCTCTGCTATGGTTAAAATAATGATCAAATGTAAATGATCCCTTTTTTGCCCGGTCTTAAAAATACGTGATACTTAAGCACACTGAAGTTTTAAAGTTAGCTGCTTATATTGTACAAAGGTATTTTTGGCTCTTTAAAGGTTATTTTCCTACATTAAGAAAAGTTTTCTTATATTGCAGACTTTTATCGTGACTCAGGTTTTGTGTCTCTGTAGACACACACACAGGAGGTGTTTTTCTTTGCGCATTTGTTTTGCACAGCTGAAGTGATGAGGTGAAGATTATGCCCATAGGTCAGCTGACCTTTCAAATAGCTAGATTAGGGCAAGCCAATACAAACGGACAAAAGAAATCACATAGTATTTCTGTTTCTCTCCAACCCTCTTATACTTCCCTAGTCCTCTACTAGAGAAAATCTTTAATGTAGTCAGGAAATCTCATGTAATGTTTCGGACAGTCCATAGGGAACCCCAAGATGAAACTCTCAGGCAGCCAGAACGTAAAGCAGTTCCCACATTTGCTAGAAAGGCAAATTATTTTTCAGAATGTATTATTGATAAATTTTATTTTCAATATATACTCATAGAGTCTTCCTACTCAGAACACTCTTACTGATCTTGAATGTGGAAAAGGCATCTAGTTCAGATCAGGATCGACTGCTGCGGGTTAAATTTTTCTCTAGGAAATGTGGTTTTAAGCTTTGATGACACCTAGTGTCAATGGAATGCAATAAATATTTAATACTTCCGCTTTATGATGTACAGGCATTTCCTTTTAACATCCTCAAATACATTTTCCTTCTTGAAAACACAAGCCTTACTAGTTTTCTGTTTGGAATAACGAGAAAGAGAACTGAGAGATGAACAGGACATTTTGTTTGTTTATTTGTTTGAAAAGCCAATCAAGTTTCTCTTTGCATAGAAAGCACTAAAGGACGCTTAGGGATGAGGACACTGTCTTCACATAAAGCAAGAATTCTTTCCAAGTTTAGTAGAAATCAGAACGAAATCAACTAAATTCTTGTATAAATTTCAGAGACCTTCACAAATGACCTTGCAAAAGTAAGGTTACTGTCAAGTAACTACAAGTACTGTAGTTTTAACTTTCCTACTTTGTAACCACCCCAAGGGCACCCCCACCCAGCTGTAGCTTAAATAAACCATAATATGAACTACGGTCTCTTTCTATCCAGAGAAAAATTATGAAACTAACATGCAATTCTAAAATAAGACAGTGGTAGGTTTTCAAGTAGGTTGTTAGGAATTATAAGGACACCAGACAATATGTTTTTTAGGATTTCTTTAAGTTCATGAAAATTAAGTTTCCATTTCCTAAACTATTAACAATTAATTACTTTTGACTAAGCTATTTTGGTGTATAGTTCTTTTACTGCTCTGTAAAAAAAAGTTCTAATTCCACATATATAAATTAGTGTTTTCTCATATGCCAAGTAGATACACACGCACAGAAATTTTCCATTTTTCATGAGATTACAAAATTCAGCTAGTGAAATATTTCACTCTTTTGTAAGTTTAAGAAAAATTCTTAAGCATTGATGCGACATTGGGTCATTATTTTAGTGAAATGAAGACAGTCTTTAGACTCATTCTTTTATGACATCTGACTTCACTACCATATGTGCAGCACAACAGTGACATCTTAAGGCCAAGTTACCAGAGCTCCTTTAGCTAGAGAAAGAACTTGAATTGGGATCTGATTCCAAAAAATTCCATTATATTATCAAGTAGTTTTCAAGCTTATAATATGCGATGATAGATAAAGTGCTTCTTTATTTATGACTTCTTTTGCAGTCTTGGTGAACATTTTAATGTGCATTGGTAAACACTGACATTTTACATAGACATAATGTATATTAATGCATGCATTTCACTGCATAGTTTATTGACACTCCCCTTGTAAAGCTTTTATGGACAAACCAGTAAGCCACAGCAGTATAGCAAAAGAGGCTTAATCTTTATAAATTGGGGCCTTTTCTGTCTCTTTGCTAGCTTAGGTGGCTGTATACAAATTTCGGTGGGCGGGGGCAGGAAACACCTCTTAACATTTAAGGTTTTCTACTTGGGTGTACTCTAGCCAATTCAAAACAAATTACTTACTTTAATAAAAAAAATTTTACCATTTTATAAAAAAAAAGAAATCACAACATGTTTAACTGAAATGGCTGTATTGTAATTAATATTTTGAAATAATTGTGATTTTGAGCTTAAATTATATATAAAAATTGTCATTTTTGTATGTGTTAAAAAGATTACTGTACCATGATTAAAAGTACTTTTTAGTTGAACTACATATTGATGTAAATAAAACTGAATGAAGACATATTTACTACTTTATTAATATAGATCGTGAATGTACTTAATGGTTTTTTTGCAGTATGAGACCATAACGACCTTGAAAGCTGCTTCAGTTTATGTGCAAAGAAGTCCTATGAATCTATATTTTAAATTTACTGAATCAGTGAAATTAATTACTTTGTCAGTTCATTTGCAAACGCAAGCTGTATTCTTCAGTTCTATTTTATGTATTGACACTAATCAGTAAAGGTATACGATGTGATTAGAATGCATTTTGAAGATGCTTTCTGTACAGATACAAAATACAGGGACTAAAATAATGCTGTGCAGTGTATAGCAGAGCCATTTTTCGGCTTTGGTGTACTCAACTTTTTCAGTATTTAAAAAGGTGTTTTGAATAACATAAAAGTCTCTTTATTGTATAAATAATAAAATGTCACCTTATTGTAAAGTGTCTTTTGTTTAATATCAAAGCAGATTTCTTAGTCACAAATAGAGTTGATATGAAAAGGACAAGTTTCTTTTAAAACAAACCATAAACATTGTATCAATACTTGAAAAATGTAATTTTTATTATAACATGAAATATTGATTAACAATAACTGTTTTTCATAATCTAAGCATGCCTCAATCATCCAGAGCTGTCTATCTAAATTGACACACATGCTATTTAATTGGTCACTTAACAGAATTATATGGTAAATGTTATAAAGCTGGATCAACCTATTTCTCCTAATTTTTATGTAAACAAAAATGTTTATATTTGATTTTTATTAAATCAAGTTTACCTATGTCAAATTCCCTTTCACAAAACTACTACGTAACTACAACCTCAGTCTTATCAAGATTGCAAGCAAAATCTAAAAGTAAGGGGTTGGAAATAAAAAGATGCACAAGTTTGGATTAAAATAGACCCACAGAGTACATCAGGTATGCAAATACCTGCTAATAAGTTTTCATAGGCTGGCTCTGAGGCCTACTGGTTAAGGGAGCCAGCTCTCACATTGCTGAGTGCATGGCTCGAATCCTTACTCCAGTAGCTTGAAAAACAAACCAGGCATATGTGCATGCCCCATATCCTTAGAATGAAGAAATGGAGGGGGAGAGACTGTGGGGTGACCATACCCCACTGACAAATGCTGTCTCCCTCCTATGCTCTGTCTCTGGCAAGCATATATGCCTTCTGTCTTATTTTTAAAAAAGCGTTAAGTACATTTTAAAATTTCTACATGGTATATGTTTTCTATTGTCAGTATATATAGAATTAAAGTCTTCAATATCTTTTTGGGAAAAAAAAAGTATTTTTAAATGTCATACTCTCAATGAGGAGAAAATAAGGCCAAACACTTCACAAGAGTCCTGTTATGGATAATGAAAAGTCTTATTTTTTTAAATGCCAAAAAGCAGTATTCAGTAAAATTCAACTCAATTTTATATCTAATAAAAAGGTAGAAACTGTATAGTAATATTCTAGTCAACTGATCACATTATATGGAATACAAAAAAGAAACAAGTGGGGAAAAAAGCCCAGTTCACAAAAAGTCTTTGTTACTATAAAAATATCAACCCACATTAAATAAAAATTCACTTTTGAAAAAAACTGCTATTATAAGGGAATGACATGTGAGTAGTATGACTGCTGTGTAAAACAGAACAAAGTACGAACGCTAACCACGGTTATCACTAATAAAAAGTATACAACACTTTAGAAAAATGTTAAACAGCTGTCAGTGGAACAATAGTGAATGTGGCCCAGGCCAATTACACCATGGCCAGGTGACCCTGTAAAACTATAAGATCAGTTACAGCAATCATCTTTGGATGTTAACTAAAAATATTATATGCATCTAAGAATTAACATGATGAGGCTTATAAAACAATTGCAATTTAAGTAGGAATTCGGTCTCTCAAATATTCCAGTATAGCAGCTGTTCCTTTCATTAATATGGCTGCTCGAGGAACGCGGAATGGATTTCCATTTGGTAGTAATGTTCTAAACAAAAGAGAAAGATTGAGAACTTAAATATCTTCCATTAGCAAGGTTTGTCTTCTAATTTCATTTGCAACCTTATAAACAAAATTTGAGTATTTTTCTCTATTTGTTCCTTTTCAAATCTGAGCATTTAAACAAAATTATAAGTACAATAGTAACCAAAACACCATTAATTGAATGTTTATTGCGTGAAAGGTACTGCACTAATTTACATTTATAGATGTAATTCTCTTAACAATCCTATGAAGTAAATTAAATTCCTGTTTTATAAATGAGGAAACCCAAGTGTAGGGATGTAAGACAGATCAAACAGCTACTAAATGACAGAGTTGTTACTTGAATCATCATTCTAACTAACCTCTTCTCAGTCTTAGAAGGAAAAATAATTGAATTAGATGTAGACAAGTATTATAATGAGCAAATTGTCAAGTAACCATGCCAAAGACTATAATTTAATCAATGTATGGCTGCTATCCCTTCCCAAAAAACAGTAATACATGGGACCAGCAGAGGGCATAATGGTTACATTGCCAGACTCCCACATAGTCGATCGTGGTTTGAGTCCTGGACCCAGCAACTTAAACTCATGTCAAGCATGTGTGTTTGCATGCCCGAGATCCTGAGAGGAGAATGAAGGAGAAGGGATTGTGGTGTGGCCATCCCTCCCAGGGGGATGATTTTGTGCTTTCTATCTCTGTCTCTCTGGCGACTGCATGAGCCCTATAGCAAAAATCTCTCTTAAAAAAACAGAAAACCATAAGACATGTCTGCTCTCTCCCTTCCTGGACCAGATACACATTTATAAAACTAGCCACATGTCCTGAAATGGGGTACAAATTAAGAGTAAGGACTTGTTGTATTTTTTTATATAATTAATAAAACATCTTCTATTAGAAGAAACTTTCCTATTAATATTTAATGGCATGTTTATGTAAATTAGTCAAAAGACACTGTATTATGCAGTTAATTTAAAGTATATCTTAAAATAGTTGTATGTTTCTTGGGAATTCTATTTAAGACTTATTTTCTTAATCTCTAGAAAACCGAGTTAACCAAGTTGATCCTAATTATTCACGGATTCCATATTTGCAAATTTGCTCACTCACTAAAATTTACTTGTAATAGCCATATGTGTGGCACTTTCAAGGTCATTCACAGACATGCAAAGAACAGCAAAATAATTGTACCAATGGGCACGTTCCCAGCTGAGGTCAAACAAAGTGGTGCTCTGCCTTCTTGTTTCAGCCCTCATACTGTAAATAAGTACCCTTTTCGTGGTCTATTGGTGCCATATTTTTCAAATTTTCAGGCTTTTTATTGGTGATATTTCACTGTTTAAACGGGTCCCTAGTGTAGTGCTGAAGTGTTGTCTAGTTTTCCTAAGCATAACTGTGCCTTCTAGAGAAAGTACATATGTTAGGTAACCTTCATTTGCACATGAATTACAGTGCTGTCAGCCGTGATTCCAATGTTAATGAATCAATGATAATATTAAATAAAGTGTCCTTATTTTAAAACACACACAACACAAGGCTGTGTACTGATAAGCTGATGAAAACGCTGTGACCAGACTCTTGTAGATACCTTGTATTTCCTCTAGCAGCAATGGTTCGATATTCACTAATTCAGTGTTCACGGTGACTGTGCAGAACATAACTACCACAAATAAGAAGCATCTGTCCACGTCTCCTATAATTTACTAATATCAGATATCACCCCAGATGCCGCGGCTGCTCTAGTGAAGTAAAATAAGCCAAGCTATTAATATGCAGTTTCAATAATTAAGTTATTTCTGACATAGTCTGATTAACTTCTTGGCTTTCTGTTGATCTCTCAAACTCTTTATATTCACTCCAGAACCATTTATTATGTGCTTACTATGTTCTAGACACTGGGATAATTCTTTTCTAAAGGACAACAACAAAAAAAGATATAAATGCATCCAAATAAAGCATGATGGAAAACCAAAAATCAAAAACAAAAACAAAAAACAACTAATTCAACTGGAGAATTGGGAAGATTTTCAAAGGGAGCATTTACATTGTTGATAACAACAGGTAAAGGCATTTGAGGCTGAAATAACAGGAAATGTGAAGAATGGAAGGAGCATGCTGGGCTTGATCAGATTCCAAAAAGCCCCATATGCAAAGCTAAGGAGTTTGTTTTCCTGACATTTCTATGCTGCAGAGTTTCAAGTTATACACACACATAGCAATGAGAAAAGTACCACTAGAAACAGTTACTATATTTATATACATATTATACCACATTTACAAGGCTAAAAAATTTATTTGGTAACATTTTAACAACAGAACTGGAATTCTGAGTTTTATTACTTATTTCTAGCAGGATATAAAGCTTACTTTAATCTCCTGCAAGATTATTTTAATAAGAAAAATCACTTTAACAAATCAAATTAATGGGAAAACTCAGAAAATAGTGAAGTTACCTTAAGTTCACACAGTTACCGAGCTCTGGTGGAATCTGTAGGAGGTCATTGTTCTGCAAGTCCAAGGTGCTCAGGTTTTCCATCATCTTCATTTTCTGAGGGTCCACAGATCCAACCTGATTGTTACTAATCAGAATTGTCTCAAGTGTGGGGATACGATATAGAACATCAGGTAATATTTTGAACCTATTAATATATGAACAGAATATCTAAATATACTGGAATTAGAAGTCAAAATCATTACTTAAAATAGATGATCTTAAGTATATTATGAAATAGCATTGTCTTCAGTGTATGTTACTTTATATTTTGTATAAGTACTGGTGTTCAAATTTTCCATAAGATAAATAACCTTAAAATGCATGTTAAGTGGAAAGACTTGTAACAGTTACTATTTATCACATAAAATCAAAAGTTCAGAGTCAGTTCTCCCATATTTTCCTATTCCCATTTAGGAGATAGAGAAATCCTCCTGAGAGAAATCCTCCTGAGATGCTCTATAGAATATCTCAGAGAAGGTACTCTTCCTTAGTCCACTTTTACATCTTATGAGATAGAATTATTACCACTATATTAAGCAAAATTAGAAATTAATTTTGCTTTGACTGAACCTTCTAAAACAAGTCATTTTAGGTTCTTATTAAAAAGATAACCAACTACAACATACTGCTGGCTTCCTTGTCTAAAACAACACTGAAGATGCCATAGGAGATATGAGAAGGCTGATGGTTCTCAGACTAACCTTTAAGTAATATTACTTACGTAACACTTAACACAAAAGCATTGAGGACCCCTTGAAAGCAGAGACTGGCTTAGTTCTAATGTGAGGTAAATTTCAGCCTGGACTAGAAAAGACAAAGATAGGCCAAAGAGAACTTTATAGCCACAGCCTTTTCACATCTCCATACTTCTCTTTGCTGCCTTGAGGTGAAAAAGTTAGGAGTGAAGAATAAACTCAAGGCAGCTCGGGAGGTGGGACTAGAGAGCCAACACCCAGGAACACAGATGGACCACATGGCCACTAAACAGTCTCTAAAAAATGTAACTCATTTTTTATGTTTGCATAAAACTTAGGACTAACTTTTGCCAGCCTCTCCAAAGCCATCACTTGTAATGTAATTGATAGTTCGAAAGACAAGATAACTCAATAAAGAACTGATAGCTCAATTCACAAGTAAAAATTAAATAACAACACTAATAATCTATACATAAGAAAGCATAATAGAGCGACAACACTAATAATCTATACATAAGAAAGCATGACACAGCATATGGAACAAAAATTAAAATAAGCATGTTTGAGCATCTCTATGCATTAGATTTCTGATCTGTAAGTGAGGACTAATACTACTAAGTATATACACTTGTTATAAGGATTAAATAGATATATTGGAGATGTAAGGACATTACCAAGGTTACAGTAAATATTATTTATTACTGTTTTCATTAAATTACTACCAGTATCAATCATCATAGGAAACAATATGATATGACATCTGGTATCAAAACACCAGATCTCAAACCTCAACTCCATAACCTATTATCTATGCTCACCTTAGGTAAATTATATAACTTTGAACTGTAGATTTTCATTCATTCATTCAACCTACCTATCTATCTATCGGTTTATTTAAGATTTTCACTACAGGGTGAATGTGTTCCCCAGAGAGACAGAGAGACAGAAAGCAAGAAATCACCCATGAGGGATGATCACACGGCAGTCCTTTCTCCTCCACCCTCCTCTCAGAATCTTGGGCATCCACGAACACATGCCCAGCATGAGTTTTACGCCACTTGGTCTGGAACTTTAACTGCAGTTGGCCATGTGGGAGTCTAGCAATTATGCCATCTGCTGATCCCTAACTGCAGATTTTTAAATGGACATAGTAACAGAACCTACCTTAATGTTTTTATAAGGATGAGATAATACATGGAAAGTATTTAATACATGGCTACCAGATGATAAGCTTCCAATAAATGTTAGTGTCTCTTAATCATCTGCAGTACCTTGACAGTGCTTGCAGAATATTATCTGAGTTTCATTTAGCATAAAATAGCAAAACAAAAACCCTTTGAGGGCTGTTACTTTCACACATTTCCTACTTACTTCATGGTCCAAGGTATATTGAACCTCTTGCATTTTCACAAACGCACCACGTTCTCACATCGCTGCACCATACTTGGCACATGCTACTTGCTCTGTGATACCTTACCTTTCCCTGTGTGCCTGGCAAATGTCTTCGTCAAGTCTTAGTCCTGATACGACTTCCCAGGTAATCTCGAAAGACAGTTTTTTTGTATATTGTTTTTGGTTTTTGGTTTTTAATTAATTGGCTATAGGGTGCTTGTGCTTACCAGAGACGGACAAAGAGAGAGAGGAAGTAAGAAATCATCCCCCAGTGGGAATGGCCACACCATAACCCCTTCTTCTCCACTGTCCTCTGGGGACTGGGGGCACACATGCACACACACCCAGTGTTTTTCTCAAGCCGCCAGGTTTGAGACTTGAATTGCGTAGTTGGCCAATGTGGTATCTAGCCACCTCAACCAGCATGGCATGGGCTTGCCCTCCTATGTATTAAGCTTCCATTACAGCCATTATAATTGGTAAAAAGGAACAAAAAAAAAATCTGCTAAACATCAATTGTGAGAATTCTAAGAAAGCAATGATCACTTTCAATTCCAAATAAAATTAAGTGAAAATAAAATCATGGGGGGCCAGCAGGTGGCGTGGTGATTAAGGGTGCTGGACTCCCACATGGCTGACTGTGGAGTCCCCAACCTGACGACTTGTTTTCTTTCTGTCTTTCTCTTTCTCTCTCACTCTTTTCCTCTGCAGTCAAATTAAAAATAAAGTTAAATAATTCTTAAAAAAAATCTGAACATTGAAACAAAGTAGAAATAAGGGACCCTTTTGTGTATTTGCCTCTTTTAGTTGTTTTCTCTAGTAAGAAAATCTTGCTATTTTTCACAGAGTAACTCTTAGAATTTTCTGTTTTCTTACCTATTAAAGGAAAGATTGATCACCTGCAGTTTTATCAACGCTTCCATTTCTTCAGGCAAAGAACTTAAAAGATTGTTTCTAAGTTGGAAATAAAAACAGATAATTTACAAATATGAAATTTTCACACATTTAATTTATAATTAAAATGCTGAGCAGACAAGAAAAACAATAATGTAGGTCAGTTTGTCAGTCCTTGGTCTGATCTCATTAAGGCTAAGTCCTGCGAATTCTGAAACAGTCAGCAGCCTCAAGTACTTGGTCAATGTGCCAAATCCTAATGATACCCATATGCGACCAACTGGTAATACAACCAGCTCTTTAATAACAGAGTTCAAAGGTAAACACCGTAAATTAGTCCCTTAACTCCTTTAAATTAAGTTCACCAATATTTCCTAGTCAGAGCTCCTTAGATCACGTCTGTAATAACTTACAAAAAAATTCTCTTAGTGTTAATACATATGTCTTGCATACAGACATGAAATTCTACCCCAAGAATTGAAAAATTATAGGAAAACAATGAAACAAGAAGTTACAGAGATTCTATATGCTTAGAAACTTGGAGTCGTCCACTCCACAAATACTAAGCAGTCCATTTTATACTCTAGAATTTCCATTTGTACATTATACACTTTTTTTTTTCAGATCTTATAATGAAACATGGCAGTAAACAGGAACTCATTTACTGTTCAGAGGATCTGTGAACAATGTTAGAAGAAAGGCAACAGGAAGGTAGAAAGATTTTAGAGGCAGCATAACTACTAAGAGAAAATATTTGTGAGAAAATTACTTGCAACTAGATGACACCTCTTACAACTGAGTATTTTCTCTCTAAGATGTAAGGGGTGTACTTTCCATAGTGCAGAATATATTTTTTTTACTTGCTCTAGCTTTTCTCCAATTATTGCATTAAGCTGCATTCAGTAAACCCACTATTGATTTCTATTCTTTTTCTATAGTCTTACACTTACTAGAATCAGACATACAAGCACATTTTGGTCACGTAATTATTAATTTCCAAGGGTGGTTACAGACAGTGGCGCGTGTGTGAACGCACACACACACACACACACACACACACAGAAAACTGGGACAAAAAGAAGACAAGACAGCAGCAGCAATGGGGACATGGGATTCATTCCTTCTGCTCCAATAATACTGAACTAAAATGTGGCTTTATAGTTTGCCAGTTAATTACCAACTGAAAACAGAAGCAACTTCACATATTGCAGAAACAGTATATTAGTAGATATGTTTTAATCCTGTAAGTAAAAAAAAACAAATAAAATGTCTCTGTAGAAAGAATGAATCCTCAAAGAACTATAACTTGGTTTATTTTTATTTGACTATTGTTTGCACAAAGAGAAGCTATAGCTTAAATACATGAAAAAGACAATTGCTAAAAATATAAAAGTACTAGGAAACCCAGGCAATAGAGATACAGTTTACAAAAAAAAGTTTAAAGCTCAAGTAAATAAATGACTAGGTAACCCAGAGGCTTATGTTACCACCCTTAAAGAACTGGGACACCTCTGGTCCTGTCACTTCAACTTGGACATATTAAAATTAAACTACCTTTACTTCTGTAGGTCCTTAAACACAGTTTCTTTTCTTTTTGTTGCGACTCACAGTTTTTCTTTTTTAAAATTTCTTTTTGGCAGGGTCTCACTAGTTGCACTACTCCTGCCTCAGTCTTCCAAGCAGCTGCTACTACAGGCACACAGCACTATACCCAGTATTCAAGGTGGGCCAGGAATCCAATCAGGGTCCCTCATGTGGATTCGGTCTGTGGAGTATCAGTGTCAATCAGCCTGTACTACCGCGCCTGGGCCATAATATTCTTTTTCTTTTCTTCTGCCCTTGAAAGTTTAGTAAACTTTGGAACCAGTGACCAGCAGGTGGTGTGGTGGCTAAGGTGCTGGACACGCCACATGACTGACCATGGTTCGAGCCCTGGACCTGGCTGATTGCTTTCTTTCTCTCTCGCTCTCTCTCTCTCTTCCTGATCAAATTTTAAAATAAATAAATGAATAAATAAAATTAAATAAATAATTATTTTTTAAAAATTGGAAGCAAGTAGGTTCTTTGAAGAGAAGTCATACCTGTTGTGCCAGCACATACTTATGCCAGGCTTATGTTATTTACTTTCAGAAAGAAATAATATGAAAGAAATACTTACTATGTGTTATTGGTAATTTTACTTAGGTATGAATCTAAATAATGTGTTAATAGCATCTAATAATTTTAATAATCTTCTCATATTGTGTAACTTGTAAACTGCTTACAAAGGACAGATGTCTAATTATATTTTCTAAATACTTAATTTTAGATTTCCCCTAAAATATTAATAAACTAAGAACCAGTTCCCATACTTACAGAAGTATAAGGTAAAAGGCAAAAGTAAAGCAAAACATGAAGACAGGTTATAATTATAAAAATCAAACAATAGTATAAATACATACCTGAGGTCTAAAAATGTCAATTTCTGAAGCATACACAACTCCAAGGATATAAAGGAAAGCTTATTAAAACTGAGATTGACATCAGAAACCATTTCTTTTAGCTCTACAATCCTGAAACAAAAATAATTTTTAAATGTTAGAGCTTGAATTCACTTTCAGAGCTTCAGAACTACAAGTAGATCATAGAAATTATAATTTTATGTAGCATATCTTTTTCACAAAAATTCTAATAAGTTTGGATGTATAGTAACTTTTTTAATAGCCTATTAGTTCTCCAAGAGTTTTCTATTTGACTTTAAATGTATTTTTTTAATGAATTTTTAATTTTATTTTATTTATTCATTCATCTTTTAACTTAATTTGATCAGAGAGAGACATGGAGAGAGGGGGAACGAGAGAAAGCAAGCCACCAGGTCCAGGACTTGAACCATGGTCGGCCATATGAGAGTCTCCAGCGCCTTAACCACCACACCAGCAGCTGGCCCTGACTTTAAATATATGTTGAAGTTTAATTTAAAAATTCTCTCCTTGGGCCAGCCAGTGGCGAAGTGGTAAAGGTGAGTGGATCCCAAACACAGTGGCTTCAGAAACACACTGGATGTAGGTAAGTGCATGCCAAAATCCTAAGAGAAGGACAAACTGCAGTGTGGCCATCCCCCAGCAGGTGATTTCTCACTTTCCCTATTTCTCTCTCTCTCTCTCTCTCTCTCTCTCACACACACACACACACACACACACACACACATACACACACCCTATGGAAAAGAAAACAAAACAAAATTTTATTTAGTATTTAAATTAATTATGATATAAGGGAAAAAATCAAATTCAGACAATTTTTAAATTTTTATCTGTTAATAACTTGAATCCGTACAGTAAATTCTTAACATACATGGTAGTTTTCTCTTCAGGCTGCATAACATAATATCTGTATCTGGGTACTTCAAAATGTTTTCTAAATATGACATGTCAAATTTTTCACAGGATTTGTTATCCAAATTTGATTACATTTTATCATGATCACAAGAAAACATTAAGTCAATTCCCCGGTCTGGCAAATGTCACCATTAAGCAGCTTAAGTCAAAGACTTTAAGAGGAAGAATTAAATATTTCTAAGTAAACCTAACCAAGCTTAGTAGTTTTAACTATGTTACTAATATAATTTGCCAAGATATAAAAGTTAAAATAATAACAAATAATTTTTAATCTACCATATTAACAAAGAAAAGAAAGAGAGAATATCAAAATGCTGTGCTGAAGAAGATGCAGTGAAAGAGAAAATGAGTTTTGATGTGTAATAAAACTTTTTTTGGAACTTTTTTTGGAAAGAGTATCAAGAATTACATTCTTAAATTTAGCAATTTTTCTGGAAATCTGGCCTAGCAAAATAATATGTTTTATCTATGGTCATAATCAACCTTATGGTATGTAGTTAAGTTATATTTTTAAGTATTGTTTGCGTCAACTCCAGTGCACGGTGGTCGAGTGCTATGCGTGGGGAGCAGGATCTCACGTGACACAAACTGGTTTGAATCCCAAGCCTGGATATTTAAGAAACACTCCACACCAACGTGTGACCAATCCTGACAGGATGAAGAGATGGAGGAGAAAGGACTGCAGCATAACCATGCTCCGTGGGGGCTGCTTGCTTTCCCTTACTGGCAGAGGCACACCCCCATCTGGCAATAAAAAAAAATGTAAAAGACGGCACATTTACAAATGCCTAGGACCTGATGGGCTGGAGGGCTGGAGGAAGGGGGTGGTCACAGTGCGACCGGACTCTGTGGAGGGTGCTCATCTCTACCATGAGTAAAGAAGGAAAAAAACACTTAGACATAAATACATAAAAACTAAGTATTGTTTACAACACAGGGAAGTAAAACGGCAAACAAACCAGTCAAGATACAAATTGTATGTCATGTAATTCCAAATGGGGAAGAGCTTGAAATAAAATAGCACGTGAAGTTAAAATAAATCAGTGATGGAACTACAACTGATATATCCCTTCACCTAATATAATATTTTATGACTATGTGTTATTTTTATAATCAGAAAATATGGTGACAAGTATGAATTGTGAACTAAACATTTAAGAAACTGGTTTACAAACTCTCTGGAGCAAGGTATATCCTTACTGTCTTTCTTCTTTAGCTTTCTCAGTTGCTAAAGATGTGAAACAACAGCTGTAGTAACAGAGTAACTTTTTTTTTTCATTAAAAAAGTCATGTTAAGGATAAAGTAAAGAATAGGGTAATGTTTCTTAACTATCTTCATCTTTATTCTCAATTAACATGTTTGATCCAGTACCCCCCAAAGCAAAGGTATCCTAACTGAGGGCAAATCTAAATCCTTAATTATTCTATCAAGTATCCTCTCAGCTCTTTAAATAAGATGGAACCAAGAGACAGACTAGATCTCCTTTTGCAATGAACTCTGTTGAAGTTGTGATCTTTGAAGATCTACATTCTCCAAACTTAGCTTTGTAAAATAGAAAACAAATTAAAGCTCCTCTGACTTTAAAAAAATTTCTTGGGGCTGGCAGGTGGCACGGTGGTAAAGGTGCTAGACTCCCACATGGCTGACTGTGGTTCAGGTTTTGGACCTGGTGGCTTGCTTTCTCACCTTCCCTCTCTCTCTTCCTCTATCTCTCTCTTATCAAACTGAAAAATAATAATAATAAACTTAAATAAAATAATAATTTAAGTTTTCTTTTTATTAGTTGCTATAGGCCAAAGACAGACAGAGAGAGAGAAAGTGAGAAATCACCATCCAGGGAGGATGGCCATGCCATGGTACCTTCTCCACTCTTCTCTTGTGATTGTGGGCATACACATGCACCCAGCAGGATTTTCAAGCTGCCAGGTCTGAGACTTGAGCCATGTGATTAGCCATGTGAAATCATGCTCCTTAACCACCACATTACCTCTTGGTCCTTAATAATTTTAAATATCTAAAAAAAATTTTGGCAGCCAGATGAAAGCCATTCAATTTTTCTCAACACATTATCCTCCTCTTCATCATCATCATCATCATCATATCTTCTTTTTGAAAGTACTTAGGTACTTATTGAGCATTAAGCTCTACCTAAATGCTTTATGTGGATGTTAGTTAACTTAAGTCTTATGAATGGGTACTCTGATTATCCCTACTTCACAGGTAAGAAAACTTAAGATCAGCTTTTTAACCTGTCCAAACCACACAGTTAGTAGATCTGGCATACAGTACAACCCACTGTGTTGCCCAAGCTCCTTTTCCTTACTCTAGCCTGCCTTATACATGGCTGTTTTAACTGCTGTGGGGTCTATCACCTTTCTTGGGATATACAGTTTTCTACTAAATGGCAAATGTATTTTAAAGTTCTGCAGTATATTAATTTTCTTTCATAACTTAAAGATTTTGCTATGATTAATGCTAATAAAGATACATTAAATAATATAGAGTATAATGCAAATGACTTCTAATAATTGCAAGTGAAAAAAAATCTCTTCTAGAAGAAAAATATTAACAGGGTTTGGTTAATCTTACTTTTATTATCAGCAAAAAAATTCAGTTGTTTGGCAATTCATTAAGATAATGCCCCTAATGAAAATTCCTATTCATCTATGTGGATCTGGCATTGCATGACTATTAACATTTCCTTTAATAATTCATTGTATTGGAAAAATATTCTTAATAATTCTAATACCTATTCTCTAAGTTTACACCAGCAGTTGGTGTAATGGCTATGTCGCTGGACTCCCACGTAGTCGACTGCAGTTCGAGTACCAGACCCGGTGGCTTAAACTCATGCAGGGCGTATGTGTGTACATGCCCAAGATCCCAAGAGGAGAATGAATGAGAAGGGACTGCGGTGTGGCCATCTCCCCTGGGGGTTGATTTCTCACTTTCTGTCTCTCTCTGTTTCTGTCTTTCTGGTGAGTGCACAAGCCCTACAGCAAAAACCTCTCCCCCCCCCCCATAAAAAAGGAAAAGAAAATATAAAAGGAAAAGAGATACAGTTTTAAAAAACCTACATACCTTTTAGAAAAAAATGATAAAAGTTATCTCAGGAGAAACTTAATGGCTTTTTGTTAAATCCTAATAATAATGTGAGAAGTATTACACATATTTTCAAATTTACAAATAACATAAAACATTATTTTTCTGTAACAACAATGTGAATACAACTGAAACTGGGTCAGTTTAATAGCAGTAGCATCATAAACAGTTCTTACCTTTGTGGAATTTCACAGAGCTGATTCTTACTGAAGTTAATAGATGTGACTATGTTGTTTTTTACTGCATCAAACACTTCATCAGGAATCAAAGTTGTTTGCTTATCACTGAATAAAATATGGTTTTAAAATTTATCATTCTTAGCAGTCCAGAAATATATCATTACTATTTTTTAAGCTTTATTATTATTATTTTAAAATTTGCTATAGGGCATGCGTGCTCATCAGAAACAGAGGAAGAGAGGGAAAGTGAGAAAGTAAGCCTCCAGGTCCCAGACTTATGCCACGGTCGCCTATGTCGGAATCCAGTGCCTTAATGACCATGGCATCTACTGGCCCACTCTTTTATAAAGCCCTTTAAAGACTTCAAAAAATTTTCAAGGTAGTTGACTATAACTTTTGTAACGAGTGTTATAAAAACTTACTGACACATAAGATGCCTACTGTTAGGAATTCAGACAATATATTGTGTTACAACACATTGTGCCATAACTTGTAGGCATTCGTATAGTCAATGTGAATAGAAACTGAGATAATGTATCTTCAGAAGTCATATAGTAAATGGATAGCCCATTCCTCTAACTCTGACTGGAACTAAATATATCATTTTAAAGCTAGTTGTTGGCATTTTTTCTTAAATATCTGTTAAAACAGTTATCTGTCAACATTCTTTGAGTTATAGTTTACTATGAGGCAGCAATCATTTTTAAAAGTTCAATATTATACTAAACTAATTTTAGTGGGGTCAGCAGGTGGTGGTGTTGTTAAGGTGTTGGATGCCCACATGGTTGATCATAGTTCAAGTCCCAGACCTGGTGGCTTGAAACTCATGCTGGGTGTGTATGTGTGTCAAAATCCCAAAAGGAGAATGAAGGAGAAAGGGTTGCCGTGTATCCATCTCCCCAGGGATTATTTCTCACTTTTCGTCTCTCTGTCAAACACACGTTCCCCACAACAAAAATCTCTCAAAAACAAACAAACAAACAAAACAAAAAAACCAAATGAAACTAATTTTAGTGCAGTAACCCAGACCAATTTTTTTCTCCTTTAGTATGTGACAAGCTAGAGTAATAGACTAAGACTAAGCCATTTCTGATTCTATCATTAATGAGCTTTATAATTGACCTTACTTGAACTTCATTTCTGTGAAATTAGAAGCTAAACTGTTATTTATGCTACATCTTTTGCAAATATAAATTACCTATTTATTAAAATTTTAATGGAATATATATAAAGAACTGTCGTTTGCAAGTTTAACAATTTATTGACATTAGAGTTAACCATTACCTTTACTTTTCTTTTTTAAATAATGATTAATGTTTAACATAATGTCATCTACTTGAAAGAAACTTCAAGGGAAGGTCCAACAAATACTACTGCATGAATAAGAAAACATTACAGAGAATGTGTAATACGGGAGAACTGTGTAAGAACGGAATAGTAATACAGTTAAAAAGGTTGCCTAAATTTCACAGTTATGCCTTGCACTACAGCTTTCAGCCTCCATTTTCTGCTATGCAGATACAGCATTTTCATCTTTTCAATTAGAAATTCTTCAGTTGTGATGAACAGATCTTTGCTAATAAAACTTGAATAATTCATGCTATTTTAAAATTTTTGTTGAAAGCATTTATGGCTTGAGATTGGGAATTGATTTATATTTTAAGTAGGATACTCCATTCCAATTAAAGTCTCTGGAAAAATAAATTGTAATAAATTTAGCATATGCTTTTGTGTTACTGGTGCCTTAAAAAAGTAGGAATGGTTATCTTAAATAAAACTGAGTCAATACTACTTTATAAATTTTCTGCATGATTAAAATGATAGCATATATAAAGTACCTAGTACTGTATAGTAATCAGCACAGAATAGGGACTTAAACATGGTATCCATTCTGGGCAAAGTGAATAGAAGCCAGGGAGAAAAGAAATTCTAAACTAAGAAATTCTAAGCCAGGAATGAAGTCTATCTTATAAATTAGTATATTCATGAGACCTAGCATAGAATTTGACACTTACTGGACTCCAAAAATATCTACTATTATAAATAAATTAATATATTACGTGGGAGATATGCTACGCTAAGTTACAGTGCTATGTGATAGGGACACAAATGTAAGTATAGAGGAGTGTTACCTGTGTTAGTGTGGAAACAGGACTTGGTTAGAGGAGTGGTTTCTGCACACATCAAAGACTGGCAGGCAATATACAAGGACAATGTGTATGAAACAAAAATGAAATGGACACTGTATCTGGACTGCTGAAAGGAAGTTCTTGCAGACACACTAAGGATGTAGATTCTTAAATAAGCTTAGTCATCCATCTGATTTGAACCTGCTTTCATTTGTATTTTTCACTATAATACCAGTTATAAACCAATTACTATAAGGGCTTTGACAGCGTTATTTATTTTGATTATCATTGCCTTATTAAGTTAAAGAACACCATCCCCCATTCTCTGCATACGTGTCTACTTTCCCCAATTTAATGTATTTCCATAATATATAAAAATTTGAGGCCAGCCTCTGGCATGGCAGTTGAAGCCACTAGATTCTATATGGCCAACTCTAAGGTTCAAATTTGGTCTCAGCAGCTTGAGAAACACACGGGGCATGTGAATGTGCCCAAAATCCCAAAAGGAGGGACAAACAGAGAAGAAATTGTGGCATGAGCATTCCACATGTGAAGTGCTTTCTTATTTTCCCTCCCTCTCCTTCTCTCTCTCTGGTGAGTGTATATTCCTTGTGGCAAAATTTAAAAAAAAAATTTTTTTAGCCGTTTTTCTCAGTTTATACACTAATGTTTTAATTGTTTCCATTTTAATATATATATGCTATCAGAGTACACTGTTAGCATGATGCATCATTTAAATTACATTCAGATGAGTTAGCAGGGTACAGCCTCTCAAATTGTGCCTACTAGTCAAGGTTTTTCATTAACTCAATGATTCTTATTTACTAACAGACTCCTCCCTAATAAAGAATTCTCTCTGAATGCTGGTGACTGAGTCAGAGAACTTTATTACCAATAACTTGCACTCATTCTTTTTTAAATAATAAAGTATTATTATAAAAACATCACTATTGGGGCCAGCAGGTGGTATAGTGGTTAAGGGTGCTGGACTCCCACATGGCTGACCATGGTTCAAGTCCCAGACCTGGTGGCTTGCTTTCTGACTTTCTCTCTCTCTGGTCAAATTAAAATAAGTACATGAATAAATAAAGTTAAATAAAATATTTTTTTAAAAATCACTATTAATAAAATCACACAAGTAGTGGACATTTAAATTCATTATGCTTTTAATCTGCTTTTATTTCATCATTGTTTTTGCAACTGCTATTATTCTAAGTACGCTCATGAATTCTTCCTCATCAATTATCTTCTTTCCGAAGGATTTTTTCTCAGCAGTCTCCCAGGTGATTGGCAATGTTTAAAAAAATTAATTACATACCTATAGTCTAATATTTTTAATGTGACGATGGCATGTACATTCACTCTGGATTCACTTGGTAGTGTCATAGCAGTCTCAGTAGTGGAGTCACTTTGGCAAGGTCCATCATCTAGCAAAAGAGGTTGCTTTAAAAAACCAATATTAATACTATAAAGTATTTAAGTTCTCGATAATACATAAAAGTAGTGCACGATTTCTAGATATTGCTGACAACATCTTTAGTCATATGCTTTATTTCCAATACCTCAAATCTCAGTCAAAAACATAAATTTAATTAATAGAAAACAAAGTCACTACAGTGAGGCAGAACATTGCAAAATTCTTACTGTTTGAAAAAATTTCTCTTAAATTAGCTTGCACATAGTTGTTCATATGACTACTTCAATTATTAGATCCTTGCTAATATATGCTTTGAATGATTCAACTAAACTATCTCAAAGACCAAAAAAAAAAAAATCACGTTGTTTTCTAAGTATAAATATCTGTACAAACAAAAGAAATATGAACTAAGCCCTGGAAGCTACAAACAAACGTCAGGAACTACCCAGGTACTTTTAAAATGTGACTGAGCAACTGGGGAGAGAAGGAAGAGTGGTAAGGCATCAATAAAATGACCCAGCACAGGTAAGAGGCAGAACAACAAACTGGCTGCTACATGTAGCCACTAAGTTTTGGAGTGGTTTCTTATATAACAATACATTCACACTATTCATTTTTCCTTCCTATTTTAGTGTATGGTATAATGACAAACAAGAAATCACTGGGATGAATTATACTTTTAGTGAAGTAATAGAAATTAAGTTCATAGTATTAGTTTCACTTTTGGTACACGCTGATGCTAAATTAATATATTCTGAAAAGTGCTGTTTTATTTTTCATCAGAATTTAGGAAAGCTGTGCATGGACAGAAAATAGCCGAATACCTGTTAGTATGCTTATCAGTCAACAGAATTCATATATTATATCCTGAGAGTAAATTTTTGCTCCTTTTTCTAAGTAAAAACTACTGAGTGCTTACTGCATCTCAGTTATGACAGTTTCTCACTAGTAGATTTTAATGTAAGTCAAAGATATTAAAGATAGAAAACTGTTCTTGTGAATTTATAGGTGATTCTATAACCTGACCATGTTATATGCTTGTGTAGACTCAGAATTAGTCATAATCGCCAATTAATCTTTCTTTTAAATTCTCTATTTAAAGCACATTTAAGTTCATATACCGTTAGCACTTTGCCACCCTTGATAAATTCTTTCACAATATGGAGAAAATAGAAAAGTACCTTTGATCTTACTTCGTAGATATTTTAGGACTTCTTGGGTTCCTTTCTGAAAGGATTGAAGACAAACACACATTCACTAAGATATATCTTTCAGTTTTACAGATCAGCATGTATGTCTGAATTTCAATTTAAAAACAAAACTGGATTCTAAATATACTTACATTTATAATTTCTCTTCGAATAGTTCTCAAAGGATTTCCTTCTAGGGCTAGGAATTTCAAATGAAGGTTTCCCAATGAAGACGGTAAACTACAAAATATTAAATCAATGTCAGGGAAAACATTAAATGTAAGTATAATCCAATCAAACAGGTCACTATAAAACTACAAAGATGTGGGTCCAACTAGAGCAGCATAAGAAACAAGGCCCTGCTGCACGATGCTGAAACCAGGCACAATACTGAAGCCAGGTGGGAAGGCCCGGAGTTCGGATCCCAGGTCAACTTAAACATATCACGCGTGCCCACAAGCACATCTGTAATTCTAGCTGGCTGAAAAGCTGAGGGGAGAATCATGGCATAGCAAGACTGTCAGGGGTTGGTCTCCGTCTTGCTCTCTCTCATGAAATAAACTTAAAAAAAATCATATTACAAACAATATATCATATAATAGTCTCAAGGAAGGCCCCACAATATAGGCCTAAAATATTTCCCTTCAAGATAAACATTGAATATGTGAAAGAAAATCAAATTTGTTTTCAAATTTGTTATATTGAGATTGCCAAAAAAGAATGTGAACTATAAAACATTCGCTAAATTGTATTCAGTGCCAAAAATTAAATGTTAAAAATATGAATGTAAAGGAATCAGTGACGCAAGATAGCCATTTTCACCGATATTAAATGTTTTGGTTTGGGGGCCAGCAGATGGCACAGTGGTTACGTCACTGGACTCCCACATGGGTGACTGTGGTTCAAGTTCCAGATCTGATGGTTTAAAACTCACACTGGGCGTGTGTGTGTGTGTGTGTGTGTGTGTGTGTGTGTGTGTATGTGTGTGTGCCCAAGATCCTGGGAGAATAGAGAAAAAAGAACTGCAGTGTGGCAAGCCCCCCTGCGGGGTGATTTCTCACTTTCCCTCTCACTATCTCTGTCCTTCTCTCCTGTGAACATATGCACCCTAAGGGAAAAAATCCTTTACAAAAAAAAAGAAGTTTGGATTTCATACTTTAAACAAACAAAATTCTTTCTAAATAAAAAAAGATGACAAAAAGAAAACAGTAATTTGATTATCAAATTTATGTTTTCATTCAAGAAGAAGAATCATGTTATTTTTGCACAGAAAATGTATAAATTTATGTATAATAAATATACATAAACTTACATATTTATATTTATACATAAATATTTAACCTTAATAACCTTAATTAAACATTTGCAAAATGCTAGATATTAGTGAGGGATATCAAAATTCTTTAAATTCTCAGTTGAGCAAAGGAAAAAGATGTGTAAAGCTAACCAAAATATAAGAATTATCTTACGTTGCTAGTGAGATTATAAAATGGTATGGCCACTTTGGAAACATTTCTTTTTAAAGCTAAACATTTACTTACCATATAACTAAGCAAACCCCCCTCTATATCTTTCCCCAAGAGAAAGAAAACAATACCCACAGACACCTGCACATGAGGTTTACAACAGCCAAAAAACCAAGAACAATCTAAACACCCACTAACTAGAGAAGATGAATAGACTGCAAGTGCATCTATGCGACAGTAAAACATTTAGCAATAAGGATAAATGAATTGATACATCTATGAATGAATCACAAAAACCATGCTACATAAAAGTAGCCAGACATAAAAACTATATACTCTATGATTCCACTTTTATGATATTCTAAAGCAGGCAAAACCGCAGTAACAGAGCATACCAGGGGTTGCCAGGGGTTGAGGTTTTAGAAAGGAAATTGACTGCAAAAGTTAAAAGGAAACTTTTTAGGAAGACAGAAATATTCTACATGACCGATGATATGGTAGTAGGAGGAGGTAACTACAAATACCTATGAACATGTGACTGGTTACAGAAAACTGTAATTGCCATGAGAATTTCCTCACGACAATTTTGCTAAGACCATGTATATGTATACCTTAAGCAATTACCTTTGTTTTTGTTTTTGATTATTTCTTTATTGTGGTGTGTAAGATCTTTTGATTCATATCAGTATTTAAGTTTCATTGAGTTTACATCATAGTATCTAAGTCATGTTATATCAGAAGAGTAAACACCAAAGAACTTTGCTTCCTTTGCTTTTGCTGGTAAACAGATTAGTGCATTTTTGGTTCTCCATGGGATAGCTGCATGATGTTAGCTGGAACTATAACCATGTGACTCTATTTGTCAATTAAGTATGGTTTAAGAAGATGTGAACAAATGTCAAATTGACAAGGGGTTATAATTTGTTTTGGATGTCAACTTCAATGGAATAAGGAATACCTAGAAAACACATGGCTCTGGATATATCCATGGAACTGTTTCCAGAAGAGATTAACATGGGAGTCTGAGTAGTCCAGATGTGGAAAATCTACCCTTACTGTGGATGTCATGATTCAGGTCAACAAAGAGCTCCAGGGAAAAATAAATACAGAAAACAAATGTGCCCCTTTGACACAGAACAAGATAGCCACCTTCTGTTATTTTGGACATCAAACTCAAGACTTACCTGCCTTTGGACTCCTGGATTTATATCAACAGTCACCCTCAGACAGGGAGTTACATCAGCTTTCTGCCTAAGGTTGTTACATCATCAGCTTCCCTGACTTTAAGGCTTCTACATTTAGACTGAGCCATACTACCAGAATCCCAGTCTCCAGGTTACCGGTGCCTACTGTGGGACTTCATTGCTACCTTATTGTGTGAGCTGATTCTCTCAATAAATCTCTTAGGTATACATATATATGTGTGTTCTATTGGTTCTTTCTCCCTAGAGTACTATATGTAATACAAATCTTGGTGATGATGTTACACAAACACAAGTCTGCCAAAAATATCAAGTTGTATGTCTGAATTGTTGAATTTTACTATATGGAAGTTACAATCAAGAAACAGGTATGATACAGCTAATAAGTCGCATAGTGGTTGGGATGCTGGACTCACATGGCTGACCACGGTTCAAGCCCCAAATTTAGCAGCTTGCTTTATCACTTTCTCTCTTGCTCTGGTAAGTGTATATGCCCTACTACAAATTTTAAAAATAACAACAATAAATAAAATTAAATAATTCTTATAAAAAAAGAAATAAGTATAAAATACAAAAAATGAGACAAATGCTAAGCAAATAAAGTTGCTATGAGAGAGAAAAATTGGCAGGAAGTACGGAAGGGGGAGAAAACTGTTATGAAGTTTGTCCTCATCTCAATAAATTGTGATTCCTATAAATCCTTTAAGAAAACCTAGATGTGAGCTTAAAAATAATAATGGGATTCTATTTGGCAGCAAGGCAAGGAAAAGGGCATTCTAGGATATAGGAACAAAAGGAAGAAAGTGTTGTTATATTTATTTCAACAGTCAGAGAGCAAGATACTTATAAAACTGAAAGATGATAAAAAATTAATAATATCTGATCGTAGGATACTCTATTTTGCTTAAAAGTCTACTTTATCGGCAGTATGAATCACGGTGCGACGAAGGAGTAGCTGGTGGCATCTCACTTTGTGTCTGACTAGCCCTTTTTCTGCCTTGCTTGTGTGAACTTCAGCAGAATTCGAAATTGCTGGCGGTAAGGCTGGGAAGGACTCCGGAAAGGCCAAGACAAAGGCGATTTCCCGCTCGCAGAGGGCCGGCTTGCAGTTCCTGGTGGGCCGTATTCATCGACACCTGAAATCTAGGACTACCAGCCATGGACATGTGGGCGCGACTGCTGCTGTGTACAGCGCTGTGATCCTGGAGTACCTCACCGCAGAGGTACTTGAACTGGCAGGAAATGCATCAAAAGAGTTCAAGGTAAAGCGTATTACTCCTCGCCACTTGCAACTTGCTATTCGTGGAGATGAGGAACTGGACTCTCTCATCAAGGCTACAAATTGCTGCTGGTGGCGTTATTCCACTAATCCACAAATCTCTGATTGGGAAGAAAGGGCAACAGAAGACTATCTAAAGGATGACTGGATTCCTTATTATCTCAGGACTCTAAATAGTCTAACAGCTGTCCAGTGTTGGTGGTTCCAGTGGACTGTATCTCTGTGAGAAACACAATTTTGCCTTTTTGTATTTCTATTTGAGCAAGTTGGAAGTTTAATTAGCTTTCCAACCAACCAAATTTCTGCATTCGAGTCTTAACCATATTTAAGTGTTACTGTGGCTTCAAAGAAGCTATTGATTCCGAAGTAGTGGGTTTTGCTTGAGTTGACTTTTTAAAAAACTGTTTGGATTTTAATTGCGATGCAGAAGTTATAGTAACAAACATTGGGTTTTGTACAGACATTATATACACCCTGGTGGATAAGCTCAATAAAGGTCATATCCCACCCCACCCCCCCCAAAAAAAGTCGACTTTATCTTACAAGACAGTGGTTGCCAATTGCTGGATGGAAAAACAGATACATCAAAATCTGCTAGGAATTGTTTGAAAGTATATGCATGAAACAAACTCTAGGGTCTTATTATTCAAGATTCTGATTTATTGATGCCTCTTTTGTTCAAATGATTCTGAAACAGTTACTCCTGAAGTTCTGTAAGCAAAAGAATGACCTGATAATTTCCATTTTATGAAAGTACCTCTGCAACTGAGAGGAGTTACATTTTAGCTATCAGAAATTTTGGAAAGATGTGAAATGATCAGAACTGTCATTAACATCTAGAAAGTATAGAGTCAAGGGGAACAAGAAAGCGAGTAATTTCTAGATACCATTATTTCATAGGCCCTTTCCTAAAGAAAGAGGGACACATATATCAGAAATACTTGCACTTCTTAAATTCTGGGTTTAGCTTTTGTTTTACATGTTTGTTCTCATGCAATAGGATTTATAACTGCCATGGAGGCTGAGCTTGGGTGGCACAAGCAGTGATCCTGGCTGGCTAGAAAACTGGAGGGAAAATCACAGCATGCAAAGGGAGGGAGGAGGACAGAAAGAGAGAGATCGCCAGAGACATTCAGGTCACTTATTCTGTAACATCTGAATGAAAAAGGTAATTGCTAGTCAAGTGTTCCAATCTGTGGTTAAGAAGTACCTACCACACACCATATGTACATTTTAGAAATAATTCTGATTTGTAAAAATATTTATTAAACTTAATACAGAGAAGAAAACCTGCTCTGTTTAACTTTTCTCCTTTTATCAATAGCACCCAATCTTTCTGGCATCTGAACTCAAAACCACAGACATCTAATTGGTTAAAATCCTTGGCAAATCTGAGTCTTATATTTGTATCGATAAAATAATTCCATCTCTAAATATTATGATGCTACACCTTTCTGTGATTTTTTCTTTTTGGCTCATTATCCTTCTCTATATCTCCAATACAACAATCAGCTGCTAAATACTTCTAATTCTAATTTAGCATGCCTCTCCTATCTGTCTTCTTTTTGCCAATTCTCATTGCCACTACAGTTTAGATCCTAACACATGAGAGAGAAATCTATACAGCTGTCAATATAATGAAATGAATATAGCAAGGACACCTTAATGACATATATATATATTTGCTATAGGGCGCATGCGCTCGCCAGACAGAGACACAGAAAGTGAGAAATCACCCCCCAGGGGGGATGGTCATGCTGCAATCCCTTCTCCTCCATTCTCCTCTGGGGATCTTGGGCACACACGCACACGCGCCCAGCATGAGTTTAAGCTGCTGGGTCTGGGACTCGAACTGCAGTCAACTACGTGGGAGTCCAGCAACATAGCCATTACCATTACACTAACTGCTGGTCCCAACATATATTTTCATATTAACCTAATAAAGGTTTATCTAGATTTCTACCCACAAAACTACTCCTATCCTATATGTCCAACCACTACTACCAATTTATTTTTCTAATGAAATATGATCAATTTGCTTCTGTTCATAATTTTTCAGTAGTACCTCTCTACTTGCACTGTATTTACAATTCTTAAAGCTTTGTTCTGTTCCCTCCTGCCAAATAGATCATTCACACTATCTCATATGTGCACATCAAAATCCTAGGGTTTGTTTTGTTTTGTTTTAGTTGAGAGATTTTTGCAAAAAGGCATGTGTGTTCACCGGAGAGAGAGAGAAATCCTCCCTCCCCCCCAGAGGGGATGGCCACACTGCAATCACTTCCCCTTCACTCTCCTCTCAAAATTTTGTGCACGCACGATATGTGCCCAGTGTGAGTTTTAAGCTGCCAGGTCCGGGACTAAAACCACGGTTGACTATGTGGGAGTCCAGCAATGTAACCATTACACCATCTACTGGTCCCCAAATTCTAATTATTCTTTAAAGATCACACAGTCGGCTAGATGAGCCATGACCTTAAAACTCGATGTATTCTTAAATTTTGTGTTCTAGCCAATTAACTTGACTCATCCTAATCCCTGTCCTGAAGCCCCTCTATAAAAGTTACTTCTATGAAGGTTGCCCTCATGCTTCTCAATAAACTGTGATTCCCATAAATCCTTTAGGTGCCCAAAGCATTTTATCTCTTATGACTTTATACTCCTTGGACAAATTTAACAAATATTTATCAGGCATCTCCTATGTGCTGAGGTACTGATACAGGAGTGGAGACAGAACAGTGAAAAAAATTGACAAAACTCTAGCATTTCCAGAGTTTAGTTCTAATGAGTTAGAGTAATTTGTAAATACATCTATCAGTGTACTCAGCTCATTGCCAAGGACAAATCTAATTAATCTTCATTTCTCTGCATAACAAAGCTGCTCAAAAATTAGTAGATTTGATTAAAAAAAAGCCAGATCTCATGCTTCTTATAAATACGTTTTAATTTATGAATTATAACCAAACACAGATACAATTTCTATCATTTGACTTTAAACTTACCTACTAAGATCGTTGTTACTTAGGTCAAGTCTTTCCAAAGACTGTAGTAGTGTAATTTCATCTGGAACAGATTTTAACTTGTTATCTCTCAGGTCTAGCACAAGGATAGAATTCAGATGCCTAAGATGTTCTGCCCCTAAAATTTCAATCTGGTTTTCACCTACATGTAGTTCCTACAAAACCAAAGAAAAATTATGTAAATTTCTGTATTCTATTTTATACTAGGTCAATGAAAATAAAATTGTAGATACTCAAGTTCAAATACTTGAAACATGCACAGAAAGAATACAACTTTCTAATTTTTAAGGGGCTTAATTATTTAATTATATCTAATTTATCTTACATCTAAATAAAAATGTCAAGGAAAAAATTTTCAGGGATGTTCTGAAACTCTTCAGCTATTAATGTGTAAAATATATATATATGAAGGAAAGCACAGCAAATTTGGAAGACCATGTTAGACACATGAAGCCTAAAGGAAAGTAGTTCATTTTAAACAGACTTAATTATGATCAGGTAAATATAAGAGGCGGTAACTTAATGAATTAGGCACGTATTCCTTACTGGTATTCCAGGTTTCCTATAACATGGCCCCGACTTATGCGTTAGTCTCATTGTCTACTACTCCAATTACAAACTACTTACCTAATGAAATAGAAAAATCCCTGTTTTGGGAACCAGCAGTTAGCATAATGGCTATGTCGCTGGACTCCCACGTAGTCGACCGTGGTTCGCGTCCTGGACCCGGTGGCTTAAAACTCACGCCGGGCGCATGTGCGTGCGTGCCCAAGATCCCGAGAGGAGAATGGAGGAGAAGGGATTGCGGCGTGACCATCCCCCCTGGGGGGTGATTTCTTGCTTTCTGTCTCTCGGTCTCTCTCTGTCTGTCTGGCGAACGCACGCCCCCTATAGAGAAAACCTCTCAAAAAAAAAAAAAAAAAAAAAGAAAAGAAAAATCCCTGTTTTTAAAATTATTTCTTTTAAAAAATTACTACTAGGCCAGCTGGTAGCACAGTATTAAGGAGGTTGGATCCATTATGGCCGACAGCGCAGGTCGAGTCTGGACCAGTGGCTTAAAAGACATGTGGGGCATAGATGAATGCATGCCCAAAATCCTGAGGGAGAATGGAGGAGAAGGGACTGCAAGCATGGCCATTCTCCCTAGGAAAGGGTATTTTCTCCCTCTCTCTGTTTCTTTCTCTCTTTGTCTTGCTGGTGAGCGCATGTGCCCTACAGCAAATTTTTTTAAAAATTACCATTATTAACAATACCACTAGTGTCCTTAGTCACATTAAAATTTTGAAAAATAGTAACATAGGAAATCATACTACTTATAACTACTATGTATCCCAACACAAAACAAGACAAGCTCCTTTTAATAAAACTTATTTTCATAATTAACTTTTGGAACATATACAGTTAATTAACAATCAGCTAAATAATACCTTCAGTTGTTTACAAGAAGGAAATTCTGGTAGAAAATGCAATTTATTCCTTCGCAAATAGAGTAATTCTAATGATTCCATGCCAGCCAATTCAGGGGGTATGTTTTCCAAGAGATTTGAATTGCAATCCAAATGTTTTAACCCTATAATATACATTTAGTATAAGCAAAAATATTCGAAAGAGACAAAGAATTAGTTTATGACTGTCAACAACTACAAAGAATGTGTCAGAAATCACTGAAAATTTATGATCTGTACCATTGTATACCACTATGATAACCTAGAATATCCAAATAACACTGAATAAATTGATGTAAATTAACTTTTTATATTTAACTAGAGAAATAATTATATTACACTAATATTTTTAAATAGCCCAGGTCACATTTGTAATAGAATTAAAAAACAAAGTTCTCTAGTATTCTGATAAAGTAACTCTAAGATATAAAAACTATCATATACTATTACTATTTTCCTTAACCATGATGTATCTGTAAAAAGAAAAGCCTTAATATAATTAGAGACATATAAACACACATATATACTGGCTATAAAAATGGATGGCAAGTAACTCTGGCTTAGACACATCTGTTTTTAGGCAGGTGACTTTTCATCAAAAAGCCTTAGTTTTCATCAAAGAGCCTTAGCCTCTATCTCTCTCCCCATTTTCTTTCCTTCCTTTATTCTTCTATACAGTTATGTGGTTTTACTAACCACAGCTAACACTTTTGATAATACAGAAAAGAAGAAAACATCTAAGAGACATCCTCCTGGACCTTTCTTAAAGGAAGAATTCAAAACAAAAGGTGAAAAAAAAAAAAAGGTATTCCTAACCTTAAAACTTCAATAAGCAGTTTTTTCCCTAATCCATATTACAGATTATTCCATCTATCACCGCCACTATACAGTCTCAAAAAAAAAAAAAAAATCACTCAACCCACCCATTTGGATAAGCAATACTCATTTCACAAATTATTTTCCCTTGGTGTGAGCCTGTCCAATTTAATATAATTTTAAGACTAGGTTGACACATTGTCTTAGACTGCTTTACTTTTATTATATAAAAAGGTGATTGCTTCTCTTCTTTTCTTTAAATCTATTTCTTTCATTCATGAAAGTGACAGACAGAAAGACAGTCACCCTCAACAGGGATTCACGACACGATCTGCCCCCAGTCTTCCTAACTAACCAGCACCATGGGCACACACACTCAGCATGTAGAGGTTGACGAGGGAACTGAACTCAAGATCTATATAGACCTAGTATCGAGCAGGGTACTACCACTGCACCACTGAGTCAGCCCCTGACTGCTTTTCAAAACAAATACAGTTGCACTACTTTTAACTAATGATAATTTATGTTACCTGACTAGTCTTGAGGGAAAAAGTCACAATCTGATCCACCCCAATCCAATAAACTATACCAAAAAAAAGTTTCTTGTAAAGTTAGAGACCATAGTTTTCACAAATGTTTACATCTAAGAACACTGACTGAAAACATCAGCGGTATGTAACAGAAAGAACAAGGGGGATAGAAGAGAATTCAAGCCTTAGTTCTATAATTTACAATATGATTTCTAAGTCTAGATTTGTCAGTCTTTAAAATGTAAAAGATATGCATTCATCTATCTCATAGAACTGTTGTGATAGGAAAATAACATAAATAAAAGTATTCTGAGTTACACAGGACCATACAAATATAAGATACTATTCTTGAGATCTGGTCATTAATAGTCAAGTACATCACCTAACTGGTGCTATCTTAAAAGTATCACTGTGATGGCTAAAGAACAAAAAGCATCTTATCATTATTTATACAGGATTTTAGAAAACTTGGCTATAAATCCAAAATATTTTTCTGTTGACTTGTATGTTCCTATCCCTTAAGATATTTCCACCCAATTTATGAAAAATAAACCCATATTCTTTATATCCTCATGCCAGACATCATATTTTATATTCATCTCTCCTTCCAAACACCTTTTTTGAAAAATGCTAAACATAGGACCAGAAGACGAAGAATACTGATGTCACTGGACTCCCACATAGTTGACCACGGCTCGAGTTCCAGACCTGGTGGCTTTAAACTCACACCAGGTGCATGTGTGTGCATGTCCAAAATCCCAAGAGAAGAATGGAGGCGAAGGGATTGCCTCCGGGGAGGAGAGAGGGGTAATTTCTCACTTTCTGTTTGTCTCTCTGTCTCTTTAGCGAATACACCCTATAGCAAAAAAAAAAAAAAAAAAAAAAACAAAAAAAAAAACTCTCTCTAAAAAAAAAAGAAAAAGAAAAAGAAAAATGACAAATACAAGCAGGACCTTAACTACTCCTATCCCAGTAAAAGCTCTCCCAAATGACAATTTGACTTATGGCAGATTTCATTTATGCTCTGGAACTTTAAATGACAAATAACTACTAATTTACAGTAAAACAGCGTAATTTTACAAATTCACCTCAAAATCATCTGCAATCAACCATAAGAAATCACTTCTATGACTTCCTCCACAAAAGAGAGGTTTAAAAAGCTAAAGAAAGCTTGCATATCTTTAATAATTAAAAAAAAAAAAGACCATGGTCTACAGCTGACACAAGGTAAATATCATCAAAGAAATAACAAAACTTTGACTTTACACATACACACACGCATACACACACACACACACACACACACACAAATCATTACAATGATTTGGGACTCTAAAATGTACCTTAATTTTTTTATCCTTTTATATCAGTTCTATATTTTAAATATGATAGTTCAATAGTAAACATTAGTAGAACCTGTAAATTTTCTAACTGTTGCTTTTTTAAAAAAGGACTGATAATCTAGACCCTCATGCAAAACAAGACTCTCCCATAACATTTACTACTTAGGGACCAAGAGAAGACTGCAGCTATAATATAACAAATATCACAGATGAATTCACCTGTGAGAGAGGAATGGTCTTGGTGAATGTTCAGTGAATGAATGAAGAAATAACGTAGCTCAAAACCGAAATTAATTTTAACAATTCATAATCTCATTTTCTTTTTCTTTCTTTTGATATGCCTAAGCATATTTTGGGTTTAACTCTTTAGGAGGCAGATGCTAGACAATAATAGTCTGTAGAAGATATGAGTAGTTGTGACAAAAATTACCACCATAAAAATGTTTTACTTTATTTCTCTGCAACTATATTAAAATTGTTTTTCGAAATGCAAGTTGCACCAACTTCAAATTTATGTGTGTTTTTTTTTTAAATAGGGAAAGTTTACTTTTCATTCTACTTATTTCTGTTGGCAAACTCCTCAGTTGATTACTGGAAAGATTGAGTCGCACCAGGCTGGATAGAGAAGAAAATCTATCAGGAACAGTTGTAAGACGATTGTTCGAAAGATCCTTTAAAAAAAAAAAGGAAAGACAGAATGAATGAGTAAATAGGTAACTGGGCGTGGTGGCACCTGCCCTATAGTAAATGAGTAATTAAATGAATAAATAAATAATCCCTACAGGAGATTTCAAAATTGTGAGGGAATTACAACATAAAAAAGATTGAGACTACAAAAGTGATAGATTCTGTAACCTTCATTCAGACAATTTCAACTGATCAGCATTTCAATGTTCTTTTTTAACATCTGCAGGTTTGCTGTCTATCAATGTTGCAGATGAGAATTAAAGGTTTCTGTTAGGACTGACCTCATAGCCTAGTGGTTAAGGGAGCTATATCCTGCATGGCTGACTGTGGCTCAAATCCTGATCCCTGTGGTTTGGAACACGTGCCAGGCACTTGTGCGTAGGTGCCTCAAATCTCCACATGATGGAGAAATAGAGAAGAAGGGATTGAGGTGTGACTGTGTGCAGTGGGGAGATGCTTTCTACCTCTCTCTGTGGGCAAACACATGAGCCCTATAGCAATTTTTTAAAAAGGGACGATTTCTATTAAAATAAAGTCAGGGTATATCACACATGATGCGTTCAATGCATTAATCACTCATTCATCTAATATGTATTAGCTACCTATAATAAATTAGATCCATTGTTGGCTAGCTGTAATATAATATGAAAAACATCTTTGGACGGAAGAAAAAGTCTTTAAATAAAGGTGAAAAATTGATCATTTAGGAAAAAAATAATCTCTCTCGTTTCTTCTGCTGATCATCAAGACTGCTTTGACTAAAATTAGAGGTCTACTCTCTACCTACACTCACTCAAGCTTGAGTAATTAATCTTTATTGCTTAATGTTTCTTTAGACAGATTTTTGCTATGCAACTTGTGCGCTTGCTGAAGAGACAGAGAGAGGCAGAGAGACAGAAAATGAGAAACCCCAGGGGGGATGGCCACACCACAATCTCTTCTTCTCCATTCTCCTCTTGGGATCTTGAGCACACACACACACATGCTGCCAATGATGTAACCATTTTGCCATCTGTTGGTCCCAATTTAATGTTTCTTTAAATGTTTGTTTCTATTTTTTCCATTATACAGTTATGAGAGAATTTTTAAAAATTTCCTTTAAAAGACAATATTTTTCCTTTAAAAGGAAATTTTTCTTTTAAAATTTTTTCTTATAACACTAAAATTAAAGTACTTCACTTCCAGACCCAAGAAATACAAAGGACTCCTAATAGAATCAACCCAAGAAGATTTCTCCAAGGCATATCATGGCCAGATTGGTCAAACCTACAAAGACAAGATACTAAAGCTGGCAAGAAAGAAATGTCAGGTTACTTATAAAGGTTATCCAGCCAGGCTAGCCTCAGATCTCTCATTAGACTAAAATTAAAGTACTTCACTTCCAGACCCAAGAAATACAAAGGACTCCTAATAGAATCAACCCAAGAAGATTTCTCCAAGGCATATCATGGCCAGATTGGTCAAACCTACAAAGACAAGATACTAAAGCTGGCAAGAAAGAAATGTCAGGTTACTTATAAAGGTTATCCAGCCAGGCTAGCCTCAGATCTCTCATTAGACACAATGTGAGCAAGGAAAGAAAGGGAACATATATTCAAAGTGTTAAGTGAAAAACAGTTTCAACCAAATATATTATACCTGGCAAGATTATCCTACATATGAAAGAAAGGATAAAAACATTCTCAGATAAACAAGACCTGAAAGAATTTGCTAGTAGCAGACCCACTCTTCAAGAAGTACTGAAAGGAGTGCTCAACCAAGAAAACTAAAGATACATACGGAAATAAGAGAACAAAAGGCAATCAAGAAAATGACCAATTGAATGCTAGGGACAAGAAATATCAATAACAATCTTGAATGTTAACTCCCAGGATTTAAACGGAAAGATTGGTCCACAGTAACTGCACATTCAACTGAAGAGAGTTTGAACATAAGACTGAACTAGCGAAATAGAATTTTATGACTTTTGAGTAAAACATTACTGATTTTTTTTTAACTATGCTTTGTTTTCCCAATTTAAACATTTTACTTTCTTTTGAGTTGTTGATAGGTTCAGCAATCTGTTAAAATATTTTTCTTGTTTGTTTCTTTAAATGGAAATATATATTTTTCTTCCTTCCTAACCCCTTTTGAATTGGAAATATTTGGGAGTATTCTTATTTTGTGGCAGAAAGGTTATTTGCATAGGTTAAATAATACTTGTTGCATTGAATCAGAAATTGGAAATACTCATTATTAGATAGGGCTTTGACTGGAATGTCATATCTGATGATCAATCAGAAAGCTATGAAACTAAGGTAGATCTCAAGTAAGCCAACAGAAGCTCTTAGAAAGATGGCCTGGCAACATAGATAGTACTGCCTGGCAGAGAGGATTACAGAAGATATATGAAAGAATTTATAACATAAAATAACCTGGACTTTTCCAGCCCAGCAGAGATTGCAGAAGAGCAACTACATCAGAGGATTATCCTGAGAGAGACTTTGAAGGAAGGAAAAAGAGATTGATTTTTGCTAGCGCAGTCCTGGATCCAGAGGCTTCAAACTCAACACTAGGCATAGATGTGTGCATGTTCAAGATCCCGGGCATTTGAGCTGTGAACAATCCGTTCCAGGGGCTAGAACAACTGCAGATTTTCTGCTTAGAGTTCATCCTCCAGATCCCAATCTAGAGTGGAAAGTCAAAGTACAGGCTCTTTGAGAAGCCATCTGTATTTGAGCTGGAGAAAAACAAAACTGCAGAAATGACAAATCACCTCCTTCTGCAAGCCTCTGAATGCTGAGATTGAACTTGAAGAAATTAGGAAGAAAAGTATAATCCATCAGATGACCAGAAGTCACTGCTGAGGCACAAGAAATAAAAGAAACCAAGAAAATCTCTCTCCCTCAAGGGAAAAGAACAACACCTCATCATCCACAGGCAGTACAATGGAACTCATGGAAATGTCTGCTAAAGAATTCAGGATATTCATAGTGACAAAGCTAACAGAGAGCCAAGAGGAAAGAGACAATGGACTCCAGAAGATGCAAGAGCAAAGAGATAATGAATTCCAGGAGGTGAGGAAGTTCTTGCATGATCTGAAAGAGGAAATACACAAAAAAGAATTAAACAGAACTATTAGAGATGAAGGCTATAATATAGAAAATTAAAACCTCCCTTGAAAGTATTAAAAGCAGATTAGATCATGCAGAAGACCAAATCTTAGATGTAGAAGACAGAATCTATGGCCTAGAAAAATTCACTGCAAAGACTGAGAAAGTAAAAAAAAAAATGAAAATAATATACAAGAAGTTCTAGAAACCATTAAACATCCAAACATCTGGACAATCAGTATCCCAGAAGGTGAAGAAACTAGTAAGGCCATTGATCATCTATACTATGAAATCCTGGAAGAAAACTTTCCAATCCTAGAGAGGCATTCAAAGATCTAGACCTAAGAAATCTATAGGACCCCACATAGAATCAACCCAAGATATTCTCTAAGGCATAACATAGCAGATTGGCCAAAACCACAGACAAAGACAAGATACTGATATTGGCAAAAGAGAATTATCAGGTTACTTACAAAGGATATCCCATCAGACCAACTTTGGACCTCTCATTGGAAACAATGTGAGCAAGGTAAGAATGGGAAAATATATTCAAAGTGTTAAGTGAAAAACAATTTCAACCAATAATTCTTTAACTGGCAAGATTATCCTTTAAATGAGAAGAAAAAGCAGAAACATTCTCAGATAAACAAAACCTGAAAGAATTTACCAATACCAGACCAGCTCTCCAAGAAGTTCTGAATGCAGTGCTTTTCCAAGAAAACTAAAGACAGGTACACAGAAATAAGATTAAAAAAAAAACAATGAAGAAAATGGCCAACTTAATGGTAGGGACAAATCCAGAGTTGAATGTTAACTTCCAGAATTTACGACAGAAGAGAGATTAATTACATGAGATTGAACTGGTGAAATAGAATTTTAGGACTTTTGACTAAAACATTACTGGTTTTCTTCTATGCTTTGTTTTCCAGATTTAAGGATTTTTGTCTTCTATTGAGCTGTTGATAGGTTCATCTACCTACTATTTGAACAGAATTCTAACCTTTTTCCTGGCTTTTAGTCTTAAGCAAATTTCTCTTAACATTGTTTTAGTTTGATTTATTAAGACTAAAACTGCTTTTCTTGACATTAAAAATATATAAATATATACCTATTTAATGATAGCAGTAAGCTATATAGCCTCAGCTAGGTGCTAATTTATAGTATATTCATCCTACTTACTGAGTTTTATGCCTAAAGTCAGACATGTTCACAGATACGTGTATATTAGCTGAATTTACTATTGAAAGTATTCAGATTAAGATATTTTGTGAATCAATAAAATGTGGGGGGGAGGGAAGGGCATAGAAAACTGTAGATACCAGAGACAGAGTGGGAGGAAGATGGGTAATGGCAGAGGGAGAGAAGTAGGGAATCAAGGGGGGGGGGGGTAGAGGGTAAAATAAAAATATATAAGAAATAAGAAATGGAAAATTATTTGCTGATAACATGTATGGTAATATCCTTGATTAAGCCAATATACATGTATTCTAGATGGGAAATACCATTTTATATGCTGTGATAATGTACAGTGAATGAATGTAAAATAAATTAAAAAAAAAAAAAAGAAATGTCAGAGGAACTGGCCCCCAATCTCTGTCAGGATTTTTGTCCCTACAGTTTAATATTTTCATTTGCAACAACCAGAATTGAATTTTTCTGAATTACTTATTGAGGAATTGGAAGAAGGTAGTGATAACTCAAGTGAAAATCACCATGATGGGGAACCAGCAGTTAGCGTAATGGCTATGTCGCTGGACTCCCACGTAGTCGACCGTGGTTCGTGTCCCGGACCCAGTGTCTTAAAACTCACGCCGGGCGCGTGTGCGTGCATGCCCAAGATCCCAAGAGCAGAATGGAGAAGAAGGGATTGCGGTGTGACCATCCCCCCTGGTGGGTGATTTCTCACTTTCTGCCTCTATGTCTCTCTCTGTCTGTCTGGCGAACACACGCGCCCTATAGTGAAAATCTCTCTCCCCCCCAAAAAAAAAGATCACGATGGTCCTCATCTAGAGCAAGGGTCAGCCCATTGTCTGTGTCTTATTTTTGCAAATGGGCATCACATCTCTAACATTTATTGTAAACATAAAGTTATGTCATTATAAGTGCTTTTTTTGGGGGGGGGGGGGAGATTTTTGTTATAGGGGGCGGGCCTCTCCAGACAGACAGAGAGACAGAAAGCGAGAAATCACCCCCCAGGGGGGATGACCACGCCACAATCCCTTCTCCTCCATTCTCCTCTCGGGATCTCAGGCATGCACGCACAGGTGCCTGGCGTGAGTTTAAGTCGCCGGGTCTGGGATTCGAACTGCGGTCGATTACGTGGGAGTCCAGCAACATAGCCATTACGCTAACTGCTGGTCCCCATTATAAGTGTTTATGTTATTAGTTCTATGAAAACAAGAGCAACTTAGCATGAGTAGGTCACACTTGCTTACCTGTTACTGGTCTTTTATTAAAATTGAATTATTTTTTATATATTTTTGTTGTTGTTGTTGTTGGAGAGTTTTTGTTTGTTTTTGTTTTTCTTTTGGCTATAGGGCAAGTGCACGCGCCAGACAGACAGAGAGAGACAGAGACATAAAGCGAGGAATCACCCCCCCCCAGAGGGGATGGCTATGCCATTCTTTCTCCTCCATTCTACTCTCAGGATCTTGGGCACGCACGCACACGCGCCTGGCGTGAGTTTAAGCCACTGGGTCTGGGACTTGAACAGCAGTCGATACTTGAGAGTTCAGCGACTTAGCCATTATGCTAACTGCTGGCCCCAATTTTGTTTTTATATTTTAAAACTTTAAATTTAGTCACTGTACATCTTTATAGTGTACACAATGGTACACTAGCATTAATGCAGTGCATTTCAATTAAGTCAAAGACATTACCATATACATTTATTGTCTATAGATAACTTTTCACTCATTTGTCTATTAAATTTTTTTTTGTTTGTTTGTTGCATTTTGTTTTGTTTCCCTGGATCCCTCACCATCTGTCTCTATGAAGCTCACAAGTACAGATGGTTTTTGTGTTTTTAAATGGATAGTGGAGAAATTAAAAGAGTAACATTAAAGTTATGTAAAAAGTCTAATTTCAGTGTCTATAAATAAATTTGATTGAAACACATACACACAGATCCTGGGAGGAAAATGGAGGAGAATGGATTGTGGCATGGCCATCTTCCCTAGGACTGATTTCTCACTTTCCCTCTTACTATCTCTGTCTTGCTTTCTCTCTGGGGAGAGAAAGTTAAGGCAAAAATTTCTTTTAAACAAATTAACTTTGGAGGAAATTGGGTGAAAGGTATATGCAAGTTATCTTTGCTATTTTAATAACTTTTCTAGTTATTAAAGTGATGGGGACTAGCAGGTGGAATAGTGGTTACGCTGCTGGACTCCAACATGGCCCAAGGTGTAGTCCCAGACCTCGTGGCTAGAAACTCACGTCAGGCTCATGTGCATGTGTGCCCAGAATCCTGAGAGAAGAATGGTGGAGAAGGGACTGCAGCATGGCCATCCCCACTAGGGGGTGATTTCTCACTTTCTGTCTCTCCAGCAAGCACATGTGCCCAATAGCAAAAATCTCTCAAAAAAAAAAAAAAAAAAAAATTAGTGATGAAGAAATTAATTCAGAAATTCTCAAAGCATTTTAAAGAACCCAAATTATTCTAATAAACTATCCTCTAAATTCTAAACCATAGAACCACTAATCAAGTTAAATACTGGATTGTTACCATTAACAACTAAGTTAGATATAAAATATTTACATGGCATATAAATTAATCTATATTTGTATCATTCCTTCAAAAAGTATTTAGTACTGTCCCGACCCGCGGGATAGTTGAACAGGTTCCCTGGGGGAGGGAGTGAGAGATGGGACAAACACATGCACACACAGTACGAGATACTGATCAAGTCTTCTTCTCCTGTTTGGCACCTTGGGTGTCTGACCTCTCACTTTCCCAGCACGGGCCAGGGAACCATGGACCTTACCTCCAAGCATGTGACCTGCTACTTCCAGAGTAGTCAGGGCCTCCACCCCACACTGACCCAGTGTTGCCTCATCCTCCAGGGGCGTGCCTGCCAGGAGTATGACCTGATATTCAGGGGCGATGCCCTCCAGTGAGGATACATGAGCCTTGATCTGGGCGACCGTCTCCTGGCTGGTCACCTCAAGAGTACCATTATGCAGTTTACATATAGCTTTAGGAAATATTACTTTGTATATATTCTTTCTCACATTTTTGATTTATTGGATAAGATCTTTAAGAACACAGTTCTCAAATGAAACATCCTTTCATTATACAAAGAACTTTGTAAACCTACAAGTGAAAAACTGGAATCTTCACTTATATAATGTTTCCTTTCAAAGTTCAATTCTAAATAGACTCTAACTTTTAAAAATAAATTGCTATTTTTACCATGAATTTTTTATTAAAAAGTCTGATGGCCTCCTCCTCTGTTTTTCATTTTATCTGTCTATGCCTTTTACTCCCCAAACCTTATTTCCAAACTGATCAAACTGAAAGACGGAGACAATGAAGGAATGGGCTTGACGTATATATTTTCATCTCAAACACAAGAGCAGATGAGGGGCATTGAGACACTGAAGGAATGGTTAAGAAGAATACGCAGTTTGGTTTTAAATAATAGAGCAGGTGAAAGAAATATAAAGAGGGATTTAGATCAGTAGATGGCATAAAGATTATGTCGCTGGACTCCCATGTAGTAAACTGCAGTCTGAGTCCCAGACCCAGTGACTTCTTACTCACATTGGGTGTGTGTGCATGTGTGCCCAAAATCCCGAAGAGGAGAATGGAGGAGAAGAGAGGACTGAGGCATGCCCTTCCATTCTGAGCAGTGATTTCTCACTTTTGGTTTTTCTCTGTCTCTCCGACAAGTGCATGCACCTTATAGCAAAAATCTCTCTATAAAAAAAAAATAAATAGAAATAAAATAAATGAGGATCTCCATGCAGAAAAAAATAGAAGTAAAATAAGTAATTTTTCCTTTAATGAAAAATAAAATATAAGGCTAAAATGACATTAATGAGTTTTCCAAAACATGTAAGAGAAGGAATAAAATAAGAATGAAATGTGAAATAATTACATGGAGTAAATCTATGTATTAGAACCTGTGATCTAACATATATTATAATGTGACTAAAGTTTTTCAGATGGTATACCTTACAGTGGCATTTCAAACCTTTGGTGATAAAGTAAGAGGAAAAAAAGGAGTCAAATTAAGATATATTCAAATCCTGATTTCATTATTTATTGGCTGTATGACTTTTGACAAATTTCCTTTTCTGGTAAGTTTTATTTTCTTATTGTATTAGGGGATAAAACTGCCTGCTTTGTTACATACAAAGCACAAAGCAAAGTGCCTGACATTCATATTATTATTGTTGTTATTATTTTTTTTTTGAGAGAGAGATTTTTGCTTTAGGACACATGTGCTCTCAAGAGATACAGAGACAGAGAGACAGAAAGCAAGATATTATCCCCCATGGGTAAGGGCACACTGCAATCCTTTAACCTCCATTCTCCTCTTGGGATCTTAGGCACATATGTATATATGCCCAGAGTGAATTTTAAGCAACCAGGTCCAGGACTTGATTATGTAGGAGTCCAGTGACATAACCATTATGCCATCTGCTGGTGTTGTTATTTTTAAAGGCAAGGTTTATGCTTCAGCCTCCCATTTGAGACTCTAAGAGAAAATCATGCCCAGTTCTTTTTTAGACAGCATCTCAATATGTTGCCCAGACCAGCTTTGAACTCGCCATCCTCCTGTCTCAGCCTCCCTTAGTTGCTGGACTTTCAGGTTCATTCCCGGCTGTTTTTATTATTTTAAGTAATATTGTTAAAATAATATTTTATTGTTTTATGGTTATCTCTATTTAAGACAGTAGAACAGGTGGGATGAAAATTTTAACAGAAAATGTAGCTATCATGAAAAATAGAGGGAAAAAAGTAGGGCTTGAAGGGGTTATTAGGACACTCAGAAAGCAGGAGGGCCACATAATACAATGGAGGGAATGGGTATAAAAAAGAGAATAATAGGGAACCAGCAGTTAGCGTAATGGCTATGTCGCTGGACTCCCACGTAGTTGACTGTGGTTCACGGACCCAGTGGCTTAAAACTCATGCCGTGTGCGTGCGTCCTCAAGATCCTGAGAGGAGAATGGAGAAGGGATTGCGGCGTGACCATCCTCCCTGGAGGGTGATCTCTCACTTTCTGTCTCTATGGCTCTCTCTGTCTGTCTGGCGAGTGCACGCGCCCTATAGCGAAAACCTCTCAAAAAAAAAGAATAATATATGCTAAAGATAACTTTCTTCTATTCTGCAAAGCTGTACAAGACTCTAGATAACAAAGATATCCTCACTGTCCTTTTCCAAACTCTATTCCTGAAGTAAAATTTAAAGTTGATATAATATAGGAAAAACAAAGTTACAATTTTTATTTAGCAGCCTAATGGAAACACAGTTCCTAATAATCTACTCATAAAATAAGCTATTCACATTCTCTTGATTTCAATCATATATCCAATTTCTCAGCCCAATGAAGAATCCTACCAGCCTCAAATTATATGAAAATAGGAAAGTAAAAACTTACTAGATCTTCCAAATTGGAAAGTTGTTCAAATCCCTCTGGTATAGAAGTTAGCTCATTATGCTGGAGATACAGGCCCTTCAGGTTTTTTAGATTTCTAATTTCTTCAGGGAGTGTTTTCAGTTTGTTGTGGCTATTGATACATAAAGAATTGGTGATAACACAATAAATATTTATCAAATCCATTTTGTTAACTAATCATAGACTCATTATAAAAATGAAATATGGCTACTAATTTTGAGTACTTAGCAAAATCGACATAGTAAACATACATACTCATTAAAATAACAATAATATAATCAAATTGGGGTTCAAAGAAAAACAACAAAGAAGTAAAGGTTTTTAATCAAACACAGTATGTGAATTTTGATTACTTGCTTATAATTAATCCATGATTTTAATATGAAAAGACTCAATTTTTTTTTTTTTTAAGTTTGCTAGAGTATACACTCATCAGAGAGAAACAGAGGTGGGGAAAGAGAGAGAAAATGAGAAAGTGACTTGGGAGTACTGGGTGATCAGACCCAACACCCATGCTCTTGTCTCACACTCACAAAGATTTATTAGAAATGCAGACAAATAGAATAGTAAGCAAAGTTTATTAGGGAAGGAGAAAAAGCTTCCAACCCCGTGGAAGAGGGCCCAAACGGGTTGCCAAAAGAGAGTTGGGACAAGGGGTCTTTATCCTAGCAAAGAGGGACCTGTTCATGCATTGTCCTCGTGGAGATTATGTGTTGGGTGATTTATGTCATTCTTCTCCTATGTGGGAGTGAGCTCACAAATCACAAGACTTCAGACATTTACACCTTAGTTAACATTCCACAGATTTTTTTTCTGAGGTCTGTGACCCAGGCGGTTTTTAATTTTTATATTGGTTCCCACAAGTCTAAGATTAAGCTGTGTTCTTTGATGTATTTTTCCCTTGTCCCTAAAATGTAATCTCATTTAGACCCCCTTATCTTGTAGGTGCAAGACTGCATGTAATGTTTCCATTTCTAAAATGACAGCTCGTGTTACTGTTCAAGGTCCTTTGCTCTCTTGCTCTCTAGACCAAGAGAGACTACATTCTTTGTTCGGAATGTAGCAATGATATGAAAAATGTTAACTTCAGATGTCATTACCTCCAGCAGGCTGTAAGCAATTCTCTGTGTGAGCAAGCAGTGAGAGACAATAACTGATTTCTAGTGAAAGCAGTCAATGACTTCAATAATTGATTTCTAGTGAAAGCTTGACAAGAATGATTCCATCTCAGTTAGGGTATAGTATCCCATCTAAACCCTAACTATATGTGGGTGTGTGCCCATCTTCTACCTCAAAGCAACCACCAGGGAGGATAACCACAGCACAATCCCTTCTCCACTCTCCTGGGGATTTGGGGCATGCACACACACATGCCCAGTGTGTTTTTCAAGCCACCAGGTCCAGGAATCCAACCATGCAATCAGTCATAAGGGATCACCACACCACCTGGCTGGCCCCTGGACTCAATTTTTTATGCTGTATCTGACTTTAAAAATTTTGACAAAAACTGTGCAACATGTACTACAATTATACACATGTACTACCATGGAATTCTACTTTATATGAAGAGCAGGTTTTAAATTTAACATTCAAGACAAAAATAACTATTTCTGTTTGAAGCCTTACATGTACACTTGAATATAATATGTAATTCTACTCTCTTTGTACTTGGTCTTAACTTTTCAGAAGACAACTCTCAGGACCTAAGGACCTAATGGTAGCCCCCAGCTAACAACCAGAAAGGAAAGAAGGCCTCAGTCTCACAATTCCAAGGAACTGGATTCTGCTAACACCCAGAGTGAAAACTTGGAGGTGGATTCTTTCCAAAGCTTCCCATTTGGAAGCCAACTTATAACAATGATTTTAGCCTTGTGAAGCCCAGAGCAGAGATGCCAGTAAAGCCAGCCTGGACGTCTAATCTATGGAACTACAAAAATTTCTGTTACAAAATAAGAATACTAAAAATTGCTTCATAACAATAAAAGTGCAAGCAGTAAAAATTCAATTGGCTTGGGACCAGCAGATGGCATAGTGATTATGTTCCTGGACTCCCACGTAGTCGACAGCATTTCAAGCCCCAGACCTGATGGCTTAAAACTCATGCTGTGTGTGTGCATGCATCATGCCCAAAATCCCAAGAGGAGAATGAAGAATCAACGCCCCCTGGGAGATGATGTCTCGTTTTCTGTCCCTCTGTCTCTGTCTCCCTGGCAAGCACACGAGCCCTATAGCGAAAACCTCTCTAACAACAACAACAAGTTCATGGGGCCGGCAGGTGGTGTGGTGGTTAAGGTGCTGGATTCTCACATAGCCAACCATGGTTCAAGTCCTGGACCTGGCAGCTTGCTTTCTCACTTTCTCTCTCTCTTTCTCTATCTAATTAAAAAGGATGAATAAATAAATAAAGTTAAATAAAGAATGATTCTTTAAAAAAACTCAATTGGCTTTAAATTCAGAAAACACGTAAGCAATTATAAAACCAGAAATAATCTAAAAAAAAAAAGTAAATTCGTATTCTGCTTTTTTTTTTGGAGAGGTTTTTGCTATAGGGCATGTGCGCTCGCCAGAAAGACAGAGAGAGAGAGACATAGAGACAGAAAGCGAGAAATCACCCCCCAGGGGGGATGGTCACGCCACAATCCCTTCTCCTCCATTCTCCTCTCGGGATCTTGGGCACGCACGCACACACGCCCAGCGTGAGTTTTAAGCCACCAGGTCCGGGACGTGAACCGCGGTCGACTACATGGGAGTCCAGTTTAACCACTATGAGATAATACAAAAATATTTTCTTATGTTGGAAAAAATGAAAGAATATTATTTATACCATTATAATAGCAATATAAGAAATAAGTAAGTTTAAATTTTACCTGACATTAAGTTTCTGAAGATTTTCTAGCTCTCTTATCGCAGAAGGAAGCGATGTCAGCAGATTGTCATGTATCTAAAAGTTATTAAAAGATAAGATCAATATCCCTAGTCTCATAATTAATAATATGACTTTGCCACTATACAAAATTATTCAGCAACAATCCCGTTCTTCTAATTCAATGGGAACAAGTTGGACTATTGGAAGTTGTTCTGTCTATAGAAGAGGAAAGCAAGCCTGAAACTGAACAAATTGCTGTTCCAAAATCATGAAGTGCTGGGTCATTGGTTTAAAATACAATAAAAAATTAAAATATTACATAAAAATGGAGTTTCAATTTCAAATAAGAAACAAAAAGGTTAGAAACTAGCAATAGCCCTCTGATAGAACTATCAATGTCAATATATACAGAAAGTATAAAAGAATAATATTGTTTTTAAGGTAAAAAGAATCTTAGAGTAAGCCGATCTACTCATTATACAAATGAAGAAAATAAACACTCCTCTAGAAATCTGACAACTGCCTATTTAGATTAAATTTTTCTACAAATGAATTGGAGGCCTTTTGATGTTGCTAAGCAAAGTGCAACAGGAGTCTGTAAACTCTTAAAAAAAATTACTCATGCTTCACTTTACTACGTGACATGGCAACAAAGAAAGGTACACATACACAAATTAAAGTTCAATAATTTGGGGACGGCAGGTTGCATGGTGGTTTGGCACTTGACTCCTACATGGCTGACCAGAGTCCCAGATCTGGTGGTTTGCTTTCTCGCTTTCCTCTTCTCTGTCTCTCTGTCTCTCTTTGGTCAAGTTAAAAAGTAATGATAACAAATGGAGTTAAATGAATAAATAGAAAAAAGAAAATTTTTAAGTTCAATAATTTAAGTTAATGAGGCTGAAGACTAGCTACACACAAAAGAAATCTACCCTAAGAACTTTTTTCAATGCCTGAAATAATAATGATAAAAATAATAACAACAAGAAAAAAGATAAGCAGAAATGACCACTTTTTAAATACTGATTCTGTTTGGAGGTATTAACTCATTTAATTCTAAGAACAATTTTTAAAAATAGGTAGTAGCATCAGTCCTAGTTTATAAAGACTAAAGCACAGAAAGGTAACTTTCATAAGATTACAGAGCAATGAAGTAGAATTCTGGTGTTCCTAATCTGCACTTTTAACTACTATGCTATGCCTGACATAATAATTTGTTATTTGTCCTTGCATCCAAACAATTGAACACAAAAGGTTTTCTGTTTATCAAAGCCTAAATTTAGTTGTAGAGTCTCAACTAATAACCCATATTTGCAGTCAGTCAACTTACATCAAGAACAGTCAATGCAGGCAGAAGTCGGAGGTCATCTGTAAGTGACTGCAGTTTATTGTTTGATATGATTAGTTTGGTCAAATCTATCTGCTCCCACCATCGTTCAGTAGCGCTGAATGAAAGATTCTGATTAGCCTCCTCAGGAACATCCACATTTATTCTCCAAACACATTGAGGCACTTTTTTTCAAAAAGAAAAATGAAAAGGAGTAGATACTAAGTAATATATTTTTTAATATTATTTTTTAATTTTATTAATTATTATCTTTTAAAATTTGATCAGAGAGTGAGTGAGAAAAAGGGGAAATGAGAAAGCAAGCCACCAGGTACAGGACTTGAATCGTAGTCAGCCATGTGGGAGTCTCAATCACCATGCCACCTGCTGCCCCCAAGTAACATATTTTAATAGCTATTCAGTTTACCTATTAAAAGACAACTGCTAAAAAAAAAAAAAAAATTTCAAATAAATCAAACAGATCAAATAACAATAAATTGAAGCTAGTGTAAAAGTTGATTTTATTCAAAAACAGACCATGTAATTACACATTAGATCTCACTGCTAACTTCATACAACTATGTTACTAGCTAAATATTCTGGCACATTGCTGTGCTGATATGTAAGATAAAAGATAGCCACCATCATGCTAACACAATGAGCAGAGAAGGCACAGAAATCAACATCCATACATAATCCTTTGTCAAAGCCTATAGAACTGTACAGCACTAACTGTGAACCCTAATGTAAAATATAGCCTTTAGATAATAATCTATCAATATTGGTTCATCAATTATAATGTATGTATTTCATTAATGCAAAATGTTAATAACACAGGAAACTAAGATGGGGTATATGAGAATATAATACACCATCTGCTCAATTTTCTGTAAATCTAAAACAGTTCTAAAAATTTTTTAATGTATGGTTGCTTGAGGGAAAATAATTTTTTATTACTGTCATTGGTATTAAAGTATAGAATGCTAAAAAGATATAAGAAGCCATACAGTAGATATTTAGGGTCAAGATTTAGATATGCTTTTGCACAGTATGCTAAAAATTTTATACTGTATCTTGTGGGATATGGAAAGTCATTAAATATTTTGAGGGGCATCATAAGATGGAAAGATAACTCTTGGTAATGACATGGAGATTTAGAAATTGAGATTAAAATAAGAAATTCAGAAAAACAGGGAGCTACTGCCATAACAGCAAATGGTCAGTTTTTATTGTGTAATTTTATTTATCTTATTTAAACCTTAGTAGGTCCTATTATTACTCTAGAATTTTATATATATATATATATTAATTGCCAGAGAGTACATGCATTCGCCAGAGAGAAGTGAGGAAACAGAAACAAAGGAAGAGGGAGAAAGCACCCACCTATAGTCTATGGTCATGCTGCAATCCTTCATCTCCATTTCTAAATCTGTCACTATTTGGGGCATGCACATACACACGCCTGGCATGTTTTTCAAGTTACCTAGAACCGAGATTTGAACCATAGTCGGCCACATGGGATCTAGCCACCTTCACTGTCCACAGGGCTGGCCCCACTCCCAAATTATCAATGGGAAAATAAGGGTCAGATTGTTTAAGCACATCAATGTTATTTGAGCAAAGATATGGAGATAAGGAGCATAGCCTCATAAGGAACTGCAAACAGTTCAGAATTATAGCGATTTTGGTTATCAAAGGTTGAGAGATGAGATAAAACTGAAAGCTACAGACAGACTGGATAAAGCCTTCTATTTCATCCTATTGCTAATAACTGTAAATACCTGAATCTAGGTAATTTAAAAGAATAGAGGTTTACTGAGTTCATGGTTTGGAGGTCCAAAGTCCAGGAGTCATATCCGGTAAGGGCTTCCTACTGGTGAAGTTCCAAGGTCATAGAGTGAGGGCACTATATCATGAGAGAACAAAATCACATGTTTGTGTATATGTGTGTCTCATGATCTCATTCCCCTGTTTATAAATGCACCAAGAGTGAAATCAGAGAGGCCCCATCCTAAACACCTAATCACTTCCAAATGCTCTGCCTTTCAATATTATAACGGTATTGTTTCCTTCTTCATACCTAAACAACCAAATCTCAACACATTAATTTTTTTGTATGAATATATTTTTTTTTATTATAAATTTTTTTTTTCTCATCACAACACACATATGAATTTTCTATCCAAAATACACTGTGCATTGGCTCAATCAAGCACATCAACATATATGTTCTCAGCAAATGATTTCCCAATTTTTGTGTCCTGCATACCTTGCCTTTTGTTTTGCCATCCTAGGTTCCCCATCCCCACCCTCTGCCATGTCCCATCTTCCTCCTCCATTGTCCCTGACATTCATGATTGCCCTCAATGCCTTCCGCCCCCCCCATTCAATTGTTCTACCAATGAACTCAATTAGTCTAAGTATATCCACTAGCTAGCACAGCTGACATATCCTTACACATGTATCCAAATCTGATCCTAGGCATAAACCCCAGGGAGTAGAATGAACATATTATAAAGTAGACCCCAGTTGTGTCCATACAGCTCTCTTCAGTCATCAAATGTGCATTTTTTTTCTCCTGCTTATTACTTTTTTTATATTAAATTATATTGCCTAACACTCATTCCCTGAGTATCATCACAACACACCAAGTGTAGTTTCCCATCTAGGATAAACTACATAGTGTCTTAATCAAGCATGTCGTCACCAATACTGTTCCATTTCTACTTTCATACATATAAATATGTTTTTTATCCTATGTTTGACCCTCAGCCCTTTCCCCCTCTCCCAATTACTCTATCTCTGCTATAGACAGCTATCCTCCAGAGGGGTCATTGAAAATGCGATACCTGCGAGTAGAGGGAGAGGGGTCACGAGTCCAAAGTTTTTAACAATAGGGAAAATAGATTCCATTCAAGGTTGGATCAAGTGTGGGTCTCGTGCAGTTCCGCAACTGTAGGTGAGTCTCCATGGAATACAGTTTCAGGAAGGCGGTTCTGGCAAGCAGAGTTGACCATCAGTTGATGCGGCACAGCAGCCATCTTGTGGTTAGCAGGAAGAACAATTTCAAATGTCTGAATGGTTCCATATCCCACTTTCTTAACCACTGCACTAGAGTGCCTAAATGTGATAGGCTCCAGTACGGAAAATTTCAGCTCAGGTATTGACTGCCTAGTTCCTGTTATTTATGCATCTTATTTTTAGAATTGCATCTCTTACATTAAAGGCAGTTATCCTTCTTCTTAGATGATTACTTATAACTTTTTTAAGGAGGGAAAAATAAATTTCCGAAAAACTTTTGATTTTAAAGTATGTGCATCAAGGAAAATGTTTATTCCAATTATATGCTTTAATTACTTTTATAAGCAGTAGTGCCACTACTTACATACTAAATTATTCATCTATGATTTAAATTCATGAACAATATCCAGCTCTAATTAGCACTTCTAATCAGCTCTGTAGTAACAGTCTTGCTAAATATTTGTACTCTCCCACCATGTTATTTTACAGAGGTTTCCTGAATTTAATCATTTGAGTATCACATTGAATTTAGGAAACTAGGCAATCTTCTTCAGCTGTTAGTAAGATTCCTCCCTAAAAATGAAGTAGTTTAGTTGAAATGTCTTCGACATTGAAGAATGCAACTGGAAAAAAAATGTAGATTTTCTGCATGAGTGTTTAATGAAAGATTCTAAATGATATCATTTCAATTGTTAACTTAGAAACATATGTGACTAATAATTTCATTTCTAAGATAAAAATAAATTTGCCTAAGCAATTGTTCAACGAAACTCCGACATTAGGCAATCAATCTATTTTAGGTTTACAAATGACTGCTAAAGTTCTAAGGAATCTCCTGGAGGAGAAAGTTAATCCCTGAATGCCCTGTACATATTATACTCACTACTTAAATTCCTTCCTTGTGGGTACCTTAAAATTATCTATTAAATAATTCTATATTATCTGTTCAAAAAGTAATTGCAGTAATTTTACTTCTTTGAAGAAAAATAATTATTTGACTTTTCTAATTAAAGGATTTACTTCCCAAGCTAATTATATGCATACAATTTTACTCAAGAAATTCATTTACTTTAAATAATTCACAAGAGCATTGATTTATTCATCTTAGACATCTACAAGTAGCCAGAATTTAATCATTTTGAGGAAATGAAATCAAATTATTATCTAGTATGTTGTATAATACTATGCATTGAGAGACGTTTTCATTTTTATTTCTTTTGGACTTAGTTTTATCATCTCAATTGTTAAAAATAGGTACAATTATTTGTTATCCCTTCTCTTCTAAAATGTAAAAATTATAGAGTTAAATAATTACATACCTTTCTCTCAAACTTTCAATTGTCACTGTGATATCTGACATCAGGCCAGAGTTCCATGGTGAAGAATTTAAGGTTTGTAGCATAGAACTAGAGGACGGGCAGACATTTCCCTTATAAAGAGTAAATGTTCAAATGTGAAACTTCATAAATGAATAATTCCAAGGACCAGGACACCTGGGGATTTAGGAACTGGAATTCTGATATTTCTGGCAAGCAGAGGTCACAACTGCACCAGTCCAGATATTTCCTAACTATAGTAATAATGAGACAATACCTAAAACCCATCTAATAGTATTCTATAAAGGATGGTAATTATATGCTTTCATTGACAATAATGGAGCTTTATAAGAACGTCAAAATTAATCCATCTCCTATGTCTTTAAGAAGAGTTATGTATTTTCATGCAGTGATGGTTAATTTTATATGTCAACTTCACTGAGCTAAGAGAAACTGGATAGCTGGTAAAACATATTTTCTGGGTTTGTCTGTGAGGATGATTATGAAACAGGTTAACATTTAAACCAGTAGGTGGAATAAAGATCTGTCATTACCCATGCAAGTAGGAATTATCAAAACCATGAGGACTTAGAAAAAATGCAAAAAATAGAAAGAAAAAAGAAAGGAAAGAAAGAAGAAAAATTAAGGGCAAATTCATTCTCATTCTTCTTGAGCTGAGACATCCATTTCTTACACTTGACCACTGAGCTCCTGGTTTTCTGACCTTTAGACTCTGGGCCGCCGCCACCACCGCCGCCGCCGCGCAACACATTAATTTTTTAGACACAGGGATTCTTTTTTCACATATAAGCTATAAATATCATGAGCCTCTTTCATCTACACTCTTTTCCTCCTAACAAAAACTGTATATTCACTTATTTAATGTAATGTTATGTGCCAGTTAGGCTCTCTACAATAATAACCTAAACAGTCCTGATCCATATCATCATTGACCTATGATTTAAAAATCATTTGCTCCCTAGAAGTTTAACAGACTACACCACCTAGGTCCAGTCAAAAAGTATATTTCAATCCAATACTTACCATTTGAGAATATTAATTCATTTATTGAAAGCTTCTACACATATTCAATAAGAATTACCATATACCAAGCACTATTTTGGGGTGCTAGGAATACAACAATGAACAAAACAGGTTCCGGACTAATGGGAATTAGCATTCTAGCTGGAGAGCAGGAAAGACAATAAACAAGTAAGTGATATACATTCTGATAGTGAAAAATGCTATTTAAAAATAAGTCAGGTAAGAGAACAGAGTTAGCAATGATACTTGTGGTAGTCAGGAAGACCTTTCTGAGGTGTGACCTCTAAACAGAATTGTGAAGGATGCAAAAGAATGAGTTTGCCAGGAAGTGACATGGTGGTAAAGGCACTGGACTCTCACATGGCCCACCACAGTTCGAGTCCCGGAACTGGTGGTTTGAGAATAATGCTGGGTGTGTGTATGTGCAGGCCCAAAATCCCAGGGTGGAAAACCGAGAAGGGATTGCCATGGGGCCATCCTCACGGGGGAGGGGGAGAATTCTCAGTTTCCCCCTCATTTCTCTCTCTCTCTGTCCTGCTGACAATCACACACGCCCTATGGCAAAAACCTTAACAAAAAAAAGAAGAATGAGTTCCAAGCAGGTATAGAGGAAAATGTTTCAGGCTTTGGGAAAAACAACTGCATCAGTAAGTTCACATCTGTACTTGAAAAATGTTTGTTTCCATTGATTTAAAACTCTTCCAAGGAGAACATTTTATGTCATAACCTTTTGTTCATCAAGTACTTGCTTCCTTGGTCTACTTTATGCATACATTTCATAATAAGAAAGCAATCATTAGAAGAAAAATAAAAGGTTTTAATCACAGAACATTTTAAAACCTGAATTTAAGTAATGCAGAGGGATAAAATTACAGGAAGAATGCTATACTTCTCCCTCCCCCCTAACCATCCACTCACACACTAATCCCTAGAGCTGGGAATTCATTCATGGTATCCAGATTTGAGCTTATTGGTTTTTACCAGGTTTCTCAGAATGGCCCCAAACTAAGACTCTGTGCAGCATCTATCCTGATCCTTAATTTAGTAAACGCATGCTCATTATTTCTTTTAAATAGGACTGTGTCCCCGTTGCATACAGAACAGCATTTGGACAGGAACAGTGGCATTCACTCTAAGCTCACAATGGGCAGATAAAAATGAATTTTCAGCGTTGATAAGTGCCCCTAGAGAACAAATTAAAACGAGTTAAATTAGGGCCAAAGGTAGTAATCGCTCATCATCTAGCAGCTAATTTAGTTTCGCATTATGTTATACTTCTCATAGGACCTGGGACTCTCAGAAAATACCCCTTAAAATTTTAGCCATATCTTCAGTAGAGTCCCTTCACCAAGGAAAGCTGGAACCAGCAGAGGTACAGAACTGGGCTGACCAAACCAATTCAAACATAATGTCTACATAAAACCGCAGGGATCCTCGCTGGAAGCCTGAGGCAAAGGGAAGCAAAGACAAGCCAGAGGAAAGGGAGGTTACCTGTGTCAAGGGCTATCAGGACGCTCAATCGGGTTGAACATCTGGCTCTTACCTTCAGTGAGGTTCCTACCCGATAAGTTTAACTGGCTTTTTTCCTGGCCGCCTTTAACAGCCCCTGGGGTACGGAGGTACAGCCGTCTCTCCTCTCAGCTCGGAAACCCGCGCGGGGATCTCGGGCGTCCACTCCTCTCAAGCGCGACATGTTCAAACCCCAGTGTCCAGCGGTAGCCGCACCCCACCCCGTGACGCTTAAAGGAGGCGCCGCGGCCACGCCCCGCCTCTCTCCCAGCGCGCGTTCAGTGTTGTGCTCGTGGCCTGGCGCTGGGCCTTCGCTCGCTGTGGCGCGACCCAGATGTCGTCACCATCGGCGCCTGCGGCTGGAGGACAGAGGAGCCCTTTCGGTTGCCAGTGCCGGCCTAGCGTCTTGGAATTACTTCGCTCAAGTAAGTGCGTTTAACGGCCTTCGAGGGGCTTTCGGGTTGTTAGCACTAATACTACGAGCCCAACCTTCTCCTGTGTGCTTCCGCCGTGGTGAGTATGTCGGAAAGGGTAACCCTTTCTTCTCTCCTCTCCTGACATAAACGTGGGCCTTGACTCCAACTTGAGACCTGGGCGCGGTCTGCATCTTCTTTGGACCCCAGCCTGTGTTTGTCGACTGCGGCGATGGCGCCCGACCTCTGGCGTACGGAGTGAAATAAAACAAATGTCTGTTCCTTGGGCCTGTATTCCGAGTCCTAGACTTAGTTCATCATTTCCGTTGTTGATAAGTTTATAGGTGATGTGAAACGAAAGGGTTGGCATCAAGGAAAAAATTAGGCCGTATTTAAAGATCTGTCTACAGGACAGTTTAGGGATACAGTCGGTAGCTTTCAGGAGACCGGAGACAAGTAGTAACTGGAGCTTCAATGTTGCGTGAACAGCTTGAACTTTGGAACCCAAGAAATTCCAGTTCGAATCCCAGCTGCTTCTGTACCTTACAGATTCTGTTCCTTACAAACTATGTTTAACTTTAGGCAGCTTATTCGAACGCTTTAAAGTTCATTACTTTTTCGTTAATGTAAGGGTAATAATTTTTTTCCTCCAAAGGCTTTTAAAATAATAAAGGAAGATTAAAAAAAGTAAATACTAAACTGTTGATGAGGTAAAAGACTCAAATTCAGAATACAAAATACAAATTTTGTTAAGTAAGTCTGTTTTGTGGGAAGTTACAGTTCCCTTGTGAAATGTACAATATTGATGTATTCAAAAAGTAATTATTAAGAACGTATCCTACATAGTACTGTACTAAGTGCTAGACTTCTACCTGATGTCATCTTGTTTTATAAGCATGTGCTGGGGAAATATCCTCCATACTTCCATTGACTCGCCTGGGCATGGATAAAATATCTGAAAGGGAAGATGACAGCCCTCTAATCTAACATAGTCTGCATCCCACGCGGTTTTTAATAATCAGCCCTGTTCCTTTTTCTCCTCTTAGTTCTGTAGAGTTCTTTACAATATAAGCAAACAACAGCAACAACCAGTATTGCTGTGCATGTAAAGATTGGGTTTTAAACCAAAAAGACAATAGCAGCTTTGCAAGGTTGTATTAATGAGCTCTCTTCTCAGCTTCTGTTAAATAATGGTAACAGCTACCTTACTGAGCTCTTAGTGCCTGGCTCAGTGCTAATAACACCTCTATTTGTTATTTCTCTATTAACACAGTGACCGGTTTGCAGGTTATGCTAAACATGTTTTTAAGAAATATGCCCAAGGTTACAAGTTTCTGTATGTCTCATAGCCAAGGATTTGAACCTAGCTCCGTCTCCAGAAATGGTAGCCACCATAATTTCCCTAATAACTTTTCATAATTTCCAATTTGCTTTTATTCTGGATTCATGTAAGGGACAGTTCATTTGTTTTATATGTATTATCAAAGAACAACCTTTTTGTAGGAAGTAATAGCCTACCTTCAGAGAATAGATTGCTCAAGTATAAAATTTCACAGTAGCTACT